GGCGATACTGAGGTATAGAAGGACCAGTGTAAGCTGTGACGGGACACTAGAAACTTGTTGGAGTCATTATGGCGATACTGAGGTATAGAGGAACCAGTGTAAGCTGTGACGGGACACTAGAAACTTGTTGGAGTCACTATGGCGATACTGAGGTATAGAGGAACCAGTGTAAGCTGTGACGGGACACTAGAAACTTGTTGGAGTCACTATGGCGATACTGGGGTATAGAGGAACCAGTGTAAGCTGTGACGGGACACTAGAAACTTGTTGGAGTCATTATGGTCGATCCTGGGGTATAGAGGAACCAGTGTAAGCTGTGACGGGACACTAGAAACATGTTGGAGTCCATATGGCTATATTGAGGTATAGAGGAACCACTGTAAGCTGTGACGGGACACTAGAAACTTGTTGGCGTCATTATGTCGATCCTTGGGTATAGAGGAACCAGTGTAAGCTCTGACGGGACACCAGAACTTGTTGGAGTCATTATTGCGATACTGAGGTATAGAAAAACCAGTGTAAGCTGTGACGGGACACTAGAAACTTGTTGGCGTCATTGTTGGCGTCATTATGGCGATCCTGGGGTATAGAGGAACCACTGTAAGCTGTGACGGGACACTAGAAACTTGTTGGAGTCATTATGTTGATACTAAGGTATAGAGGAACCAGTGTAAGCTGTGACGGGACACTAGAAACTTGTTAGAGTCATTATGGCGATACTGAGGTATAGAGGAACCAGTGTAAGCTGTGACGGGACACTAGAAACTTGTTGGAGTCATTATGGCAATACTGAGGCATAGAGGAACCAGTGTAAGCTGTGACGGGACACTAGAAACTTGTTAGAGGCATTATGTCGATCCTGGGGTATAGAGGAACCAGTGTAAGCTGTGACGGGACACTAGAAACTTGTTAGAGGCATTATGTCGATCCTGGGGTATAGAGGAACCACTGTAAGCTGTGACGGGACACTAGAAACTTGTTAGAGGCATTCTGTAGATTATAAGGTATAGAGGAGCCAGTGTAAGCTGTGACGGGACACTAGAAACTTGTTAGAGGCATTATGTTGATACTAAGGTATAGAGGAGCCAGTGCAAGCTGTGACGGGACACTAGAAACTTGTTGGCGTCATTATGTTGATACTAAGGTATAGAGGAGCAGTGTAAGCTGTGACGGGACACTAGAAACTTGTTGGAGGCATTATGTCGATCCTGGGGTATAGAGGAACCAGTGTAAGATGTGACGGGACACTAGAACTTTGTTAGAGGCATTATGTTGATACTGAGGTATAGAGGAGCCAGTGCAAGCTGTGACGGGACACTAGAAACTTGTTGGCGTCATTATGTCGATCCTGGGGTATAGAGGAACCACTGTAAGCTGTGACGGGACACTAGAAACTTGTTGGCGTCATTATTGCGATACTGAGGTATAGAAAAACCAGTGTAAGCTGTGACGGGACACTAGAAACTTGTTGGAGTCATTATGGCGATACTGAGGTATAGAGGAACCACTGTAAGCTGTGACGGGACTCTAGAAACTTGTTGGAGTCATTATGTTGATACTAAGGTATAGAGGAACCAGTGTAAGCTGTGACGGGACACTAGAAACATGTTGGAGTCCATATGGCGATATTGAGGTATAGAGGAGCCAGTGTAAGCTGTGACGGGACACTAGAAACGTGTTGGAGTCATTATGGCGTTCCTGGGGTATAGAGGAGCCAGTGTAAGCTGTGACGGGACACTAGAAACGTGTTGGAGTCATTATGGCGTTCCTGGGGTATAGAGGAACCAGTGTAAGCTGTGACGGGACACTAGAAACTTGTTGGAGTCATTATGGCGATACTGAGGTATAGAGGAACCACTGTAAGCTGTGACGGGACACTAGAAACTTGTTAGAGGCATTATGGCGATACTGAGGTATAGAGGAGCAGTGTAAGCTGTGACGGGACACTAGAAACTTGTTGGAGAAACTATGGCAATACTGAGGCATAGAGGAACCAGTGTAAGCTGTGACGGAACACTAGAAACTTGTTGGAGGCATTATGTCGATCCTGGGGTATAAAGGAACCACTGTAAGCTGTGACGGGACACTAGAAACTTGTTAGAGGCATTATGGCGATCCTGGGGTATAGAGGAACCACTGTAAGCTGTGACGGGACACTAGAAACTTGTTAGAGGCATTATGTCGATCCTGGGGTACTAGGTATAGAGGAACCACTGTAAGCTGTGACGGGACACTAGAAACTTGTTAGAAACTTGTTAGAGGCATTATGTTGATACTAAGGTATAGAGGAACCAGTGTAAGCTGTGACGGGACACTAGAAACTTGTTAGAGGCATTCTGTAGATACTGGGGTATAGAGGAACCACTGTAAGCTGTGACGGGACACTAGAAACTTGTTAGAAGCATTATGTTGATACTAAGGTATAGAGGAACCAGTGTAAGCTGTGACGGGACACTAGAAACTTGTTAGAGGCATTCTGTAGATACTAAGGTATAGAGGAACCACTGTAAGCTGTGACGGGACTCCAGAAACTTGTTGGAGTCATTATGTTGATACTAAGGTATAGAGGAAGCCAGTGTAAGCTGTGACGGGACACTAGAAACTTGTTGGAGTTATTATGTTGATACTGAGGTATAGAGGAACCACTGTAAGCTGTGACGGGAGTCATTATGTTGAACTGAATAGCAGGCCTTATTAATTTAGAATCCTCAAAGATGTGTCAAAAGTTTGAAGTAGTGACTGAAAGCGGGAAGTGGGACAGAGACAAGAACACGTATGTATGACTCCGAAAGATGGTGACCATCACGTTCATCCCGTGGCTTCGGTTGTTTTGTTGTTGAACAGTATGAATTTTGGGTTGTTTTGTTGTTGAACACAGCGGTCGTCTGTATTCACGCTTTACCAGCCTGTACAAGAGAAGTTGACATCTATAAATTCTCAACTTTAGGTGTATCACTTCTATTTCCCGGTCAAAGACTGTAACTAATCGGTTAGGGTCAGAAGAAATCCAAGTTTGCCATTACACGCAACCTCCGACATCACGATATTCTGACAGCACAAAATTGGCAAAACAGGAGTAAAACCTGGGTTCTTCCGTCAGTAAAACACAACATAGGCCCTGGGTGTTCCCGTCAGTAAAACACAACATAGGCCCTGGGTGTTCCCGTCAGTAAAACACAACATAGGCCCTGTGTGTTAGGCCCTGTGTGTTCCCGTCAGTAAAACACAACATAGGCCCTGTGTGTTCCCGTCAGTAAAACACAACATAGGCCCTGTGTGTTCCCGTCAGTAAGACACAACATAGGCCCTGTGTGTTCCCGTCAGTAAAACACAACATAGGCACTGTGTGTTCCCGTCAGTAGAACACAACATAGGCCCTGGGTGTTCCCGTCAGTAAAACACAACATAGGCCCTGTGTGTTCCCGTCAGTAGAAACACAACATAGGCCCTGGGTGTGCCCGTGTGTCTCACATCAGTAAACACACAACATAGGCCATGGGCGTGCCCGCGTGTCACATCAGTAAACACAACATAGGCCATGGGCGTTCCCGCCAGTAAAACTCAACACAGGCCCTGGGTATTCCCGTTAGTACTTGTAACACATCATAGGCCCTGGGTGTTCCAGTTAGTACTTGTAACACAACACAGGCCCTGTGTGTTCCCGTCAGTAAAACAAAACATAGGCCCTGGGTGTTCCCGTCAATAAAACTCAACATAGGCCCTGGGTGTGCCCGTTAATACTTGTTACACAACATAGGCCCTGGGTGTTCCCGTCAGTAAAACACAACATAGGCCCTGGGTGTTCCCGTCAGTAAAACGCAACATAGGCCCTGCATGGGTGTTCACGTTCGTAAAACACTACATAGGCACTGGGTGTCCCCGTCAGGAAAACGCAACATAGGCCCTGTGTGTTCCCGTCAGTAAAACACAACATAGGCCCTGGGTGTTCCCGTCAGTAAAACACAACATAGGCACTGGGTGTCCCCGTCAGGAAAACGCAACATAGGCCCTGTGTGTTCCCGTCAGTAGAACACAACATAGGCCCTGTGTGTTCACGTCAATAAAACTCAACATAGGCCCTGGGTGTGCCCGTCAGTAAAACACAACATAGGCCCTGTGTGTTCCCGTCAGTAAAACACAACATAGGCCCTGGGTGTGCCCGTGTGTCACATCAGTAAACACAACATAGGCCATGGGCGTTCCCGCTAGTAAAACTCAACACAGGCCCTGGGTATTCCCGTTAGTACTTATAACACATCATAGGCCCTGGGTGTTCCAGTTAGTACTTGTAACACAACACAGGCCCTGTGTGTTCCCGTCAGTAAAACACAACATAGGCCCTGGGTGTTCCCGTCAGTAAAACACAACATAGGCCCTGGGTGTTCCCGTCAGTAAAACACAACATAGGCCCAGGGTGTTCCCGTCAGTAAAACACAACATAGGCCCTGTTAGTTGGTAGATGAGTGGAGGTCGACCTCACCACTGTTTAACAGGTCGTGTATTTCAACATTGTCTGTTGATGACAATAATAGTAATACACAAACTTCATTTCGAAATATTACTGCGGAATATATATTTCCGATGTGGTGTAACGTTTCCATAAAGTGTACCAGAGAATGTGCCTTTCTCCAGATGAACAGACTGTGAATGCTGTATCACTATCGTCTCTAACCAGACCAATGACTGAATGAATCACAATAAAATCCTTCCACGGGTTGTCTAAATAGCATGCTGATAATATCGTGTTTCTATATTATTATAAGCACATATTGATGTCTTCGTAGAATTACAACCACTCAGCTCGATATCTGATTCATTTAATATTTCAGGGAACCTGTGAGTCCATTTAAAATCTTACACGTGTGCACAACATACTTTGACGTGAACTTTGCAATGCAAGGGAACTAACTTGTGGCATTCAGAACCTTCTGTCCTGCCTATATCCGACCTATGCTGAATGATTGAAGCTGAAGGTAAGGGCGGATAACTCGCAATTCTTGCATCTGTTGCAAAACGATACGAAAGAAAGTTTTATACCTCTTATCTACTGTCAATCCTTAAAGCATTGGATTAACTCATCGTCACCTACTTAAGACATATGCTGACTCAGGTAATGGCCCGTTTTGCTGAGACTTTTATAAAACATTGTGTTTGCTATACACGTTAATTATTTATTTCATCTCATTGATTTCGATTTCGCATATGCCACCCCATGTGAGTGATTTTGTATGTCGGTTTCAGAGTGGTGCCCAACATTGGGTGAAGATGAATTAAACATGCTATTTATAAGAATTGATTTGGTCATTCACTGCTCGTATACTTCTCTGTAATTAGAGCACTGCCATTATAACAAGTAAATAAGATTTTGACACATCACCTGTGGTGCCTGGTGGTGGGTTGCGACAGTCACGACATGACCAGGGACCGTACAACATATATCGTCTCCGAACTAGCTTCGAACGACACCTGTTTTAACTCAGCCATATCCCAATATAAACAGAGATGTCATGTCATCAAAACACTTCACCATGCATACATCTTACCTGTCCCATGAGGTTGTTTGGAAGTACTGAACACCTTCACCAACTGTGTGATGTCAGAATCTTGGTGCATGTGTCATGATTTATACACAGTGGGAAAATAGGCTGAGGTAAATGCATCTGTAAAACACTGGACAATATGTTATTATTTGACAAACACTTATATTAAATATTTTGTAAAGAGGCTTCAAACTTTAAATAAACTTAGAACTTTTAATGCCAGTCTGCAAAAATTGTATTGATAACTTTGCACCAGTCAGGGCTGTTTATTCACAGAATATAGGCTAGTCAGGTGACTGAAAACAATTGAAGTTTGCAGACAAGGTCTTAGAAGCCTTTTATTGTGGACACTTTCCTGTCAGGGTATCACTGAATGTTGTCCTTGAAGACATCACATACCAGTATAATGAATACATATAGTATATACAGGCTTTCACTCATTTACTCATTCTTCCTTTGAAACATCCACAGTGACCTCTTACCTGCAGACAACAGATGTTACAGTGTTGTCAATAACAGTGGATTTATTCAGGGATGGTATAAAAGTCAAAACCCTGACAGTCAATTCTACATTTTAACAGATATGTAACAATGCACACAGATCAAAAACACAGGTATATTCTAATACAAAATGAAAGAGTATATGGCATTATTGCCTGACTGTCTTGGTCAGCATTTATAATCAGTTAAGTAGGTACAGTCTATCTATAAACAAGTAATAATGCTTTCGCATATGAAAAATAGTTATGTTGCTATGCATGACCATATACTCAGTAAATACCTGACATGTAGACAGGGGCGGTGGGGTAGCCTAATGGTTAAAGCGTTGGCTCGTCACACCGAAGACCCGTGTTCGAATCCCCACATGGGCACAATGTGTGAAGCCCATTTCTGGTGTCCCCGCTGTAATATTGCTGGAATATTGCTAAAAGCGGCGTAAAACCAAACTCAGTCAGTCAGACATGTAGACAACATAATGTTGAGGAGACATGTGGGTCCTTCTCTTATAACCTGTAACTATAACAGAATTTTGTTGTTGTAAATTTATCATTTGTTTATCATGAAGAAATATGCTAAAATTGCACCTTGAGATTCTCTCCCTGACACTGCAGTAGTGTAGATAACTATGAATCTATGAAATACTTGCATGGGCTGTATTGGATATATTTGTTTGAAGGTGTGTATGGAACCGTAATAGGCACCCAAAGCACTGTTTCATCTATAGTATCATCATGGGTAATATTTCAGATAGTCCACTTTGACTGATATGGTGAGCTTGCCGCGCCTTACTGGCGCTCTTCGAGTGTTCACCAGTGTTTCGGCCAGTGAGGTTCCAGGGTCGAGAGGTAATGATGACCTGGCACAGCGGAGGCTGCTGTCAGCAGAGAAAGAAAACAAGGGAGGTCACTCCTGGCAAGATGTGGTGACTCTACTGGAGAAGCGTGGAGATGTAGAAACTAAAGAGTCATCTCCTGTCCTCAAACAACTGATTGCCTGTGCTAGATCTATTGGTGAGTAACTGAGAAAGCTATTGAATATGCGGCTGGTTTCATGCCGGACAACTAACTGGTGTAAATTGTGTTCATGGTGTTAATTCTATTCTAGCTGAAGTAGAATATATTTGCCAGTTGTTCAGTTTGACACTTCCCAGTGAAGGGAAGTATATCTTAGACCAGTCCTTGTTCCCAGTGAAGGGAAGTATATCTTAGACCAGTCCTTGTTCCCAGTGAAGGGAAGTATATCTTAGACCAGTCCTTGTTCCCAGTGAAGGGAAGTATATCTTAGACCAGTCCTTGTTCCCAGTGAAGGGAAGTATATCTTAGACCAGTCCTTGTTCCCAGTGAAGGGAAGTATATCTTAGACCAGTCCTTGTTCCCAGTGAAGGGAAGTATATCTTAGACCAGTCCTTGTTCCCAGTGAAGGGAAGTCCTTGTCCCAGTGAAGGGAAGTATATCTTAGACAGTCCTTGTTCCCAGTGAAGGGAAGTATATCTTAGACCAGTCCTTGTTCCCAGTGAAGGACCAGTCCTTGTTCCCAGTGAAGGGAAGTATATCTTAGACCAGTCCTTGTTCCCAGTGAAGGGAAGTATATCTTAGACCAGTCCTTGTTCCCAGTGAAGGGAAGTATATCTTAGACCAGACCTTGTTCCTTGAAGGAAGTATCTTAGACCAGTCCTTGTTCCCCGTGAGTGAAGGGAAGTATATCTTAGACCAGTCCTTGTTCCCAGTGAAGGGAAGTATATCTTAGACCAGTCCTTGTTCCCAGTGAAGGGAAGTATATCTTAGACCAGTCCTTGTTCCCGGTGAAGGGAAGTGTATCTTAGACCAGTCCTTGTTCCCAGTGAAGGGAAGTATATCTTAACCAGTCCTTGTTCCCAGTGAAGGGAAGTATATCTTAGACCAGTCCTTGTTGCTGACAACCAACCTGTGATACTGTCAGCTGCCCATTTTTGCACATGCCCAATTTGTAGGTTTGATTCCCAGATAAATCCACTCCGAATTGTTGAAATATTGTTAGCAGTGGGATAAAACATCAACCACTTACTGTTCCATGGGTCATATCCCCAGCACAGAACTGACACCCTGACATTTCTGTCTGTTTCCAGTCGGTAATGAAGCATCCTCCGACATCGTGGAGGGGGCTGCAGCTTACCTGTTTGAAATTTTCAAGTTTGCGGAGAGTGTTGGTCAGAGAGAGACCACAACACTGAGAAGCATCTTTGGCCCATTCCCAGCCACCGCAGCAACCAAAGCATGTGAGCTGGTCTCACGGATCGTGTCGTGGTTGCCAGGAGACGTCCTCCTGGAGGACGATTTCCACGGTCGAGAGGAAGCAGACGGGGCAGCCATTATCCAAGAATTCGGGAAAAATATCAAATTCTTAACTCCAACGTTAGATCGAGAAGAAGAGTTATCAAGCTCAGAATCTGAGGATGAAGTGGAAGAGAAAAATGTGGATTTGAAATATAATGCGAAGCCAGTGTTAGGAAAGAAGGTACCAGATGGCGGAGCTGCGAGACTGGAGGACAGGTGCGACTCATCATGGCTGCTGGAGGAAGTGAGGAAGTACTTCTCCTCCTCTGGGGAAACGGACATTGGACTTAGTCTAGAGGACCTCTCCACCACCATCTTCGAGGTTCTTTGTTCCACCAAGACGGACGAGGAGTTACAGAATGAGGTTTGTGATAAAACTTGAATAGGCTGAAATATGACATGAACTTATACAGGGAGAGAAAGGTTTACATGACTTTGGTCCTGGCTAGAGTAGGAACATGTCAAGTGGGAACATGTCAAGTGGTGATTGTCAGCATGTAGAATCTGTTACAAACACTCCACAAGAACCTGGAGGCAATAGTAACAGATTTATCTGTTGTCAGTAATGTCACACTTTGGTTTGTTTCAGCTATTTGAGCTTCTTGGTTTTGACCGTTTTGAGATGATTCAAAGCCTGCTGTCAAACAGGAGTCGCCTGATGAAGACCCTTGTTGCCGACACTAACAGAGCAGCTATAGCACAAGTACAGGCCCAGCGTAAGTCACAGTGACATGTATCCTTTAACAGGGTCTAGACTCCTGCGGGATGGTTGTGTATGTAGGTCACAGTGACATGTATCCATTAACAGGGTCTACACTCCTGCCGGATGATTGTGTATGTAGGTCACAGTGACATGTATCCATTAACAGGGTCTAGACTCATGCTGGATGGTTGTGTATGTAGGTCACAGTGACATGTATCCATTAACAGGGTCTAGACTCCTGCGGGATTGGTGGGGTATGTAGGTCACAGTGACATGTATCCATTAACAGGGTCTAGACTCCAGCTGGATGGTTGTGTATGTAGGTCACAGTGACATGTATCCATTAACAGGGTCTAGACTTCTGCCGGATGGTTGTGTATGTAGGTCACAGTGACATGTATCCATTAACAGGGTCTAGACTCCTGCGGGATGGTTGTGTATGTAGGTCACAGTGACATGTATCCATTAACAGGGTCTAGACTCCTGCGGGTTGTGTATGGTTGACATGTATGTAGGTCATTAACAGGGTCTAGACTCCTGACATGTATCCATTAACAGGGTCTAGACTCCTGCGGGATGGTTGTGTATGTAGGTCACAGTGACATGTATCCATTAACAGGGTCTAGACTCCTGCGGGATGGTTGTGTATGTAGGTCACAGTGACATGTATCCATTAACAGGGTCTACACTCCTGCCGGATGGTTGTGTATGTAGGTCACAGTGACATGTATCCATTAACAGGGTCTAGACTCCTGCCGGATGGTTGTGTATGTAAGTCACAGTGACATGTATCCATTAACAGGGTCTAGACTCCTGCCGGATGTTTTTTCTGTATGTAGGTCACAGTGACCAGGTTCTCATTAACAAGTGACTGTCAGAGTTTGTATTGAAAACGCTCCAACCCGACTTCATTGTGTTTACCAGCTCAAATCTTGTGACAACTCCTGCTTACGCTGAAACAATGTCTGAGGTCCACACTGAACACTAGTTAGCATGTCTAAGGTTTCCTCTAGTGTGATAATATAATGTGTTACATGTGTTAAAATTATACTTTCAGGAAAGAAAGAAGTGGAAAGACCAACCTATGGTTGCCAGGTTACAATACAGGTAGGCATGTTCGTGGGGATAGGGATATGCAAGGTTGCAGGTAAATATACAGTTCAACTTGTCTGCCTGAGGGAGGTTGTTGCTAGGTAACTATACAGTTCAACTTGTCTGCCTGAGGGAGGTTGTTGCTAGGTAACTATACAGTTCTACTTGTCTGCTTCAGGGAGGTTGTTGCTAGGTAACTATATAGTTCTACTTGTCTGCCTTGTCTGCCTGAGGGAGGTTGTTGCTAGGTAACTATACAGTTCAACTTGTCTGCCTGAGGGAGGTTGTTGCTAGGTAACTATACAGTTCTACTTGTCTGCCTCAGGGAGGTTGTTGCTAGGTAACTATATAGTTCTACTTGTCTGCCTTGTCTGCCTGAGGGAGGTTGTTGCTAGGTAACTATACAGTTCTACTTGTCTGCCTGAGGGAGGTTGTTGCTAGGTAACTATACAGTTCTACTTGTCTGCCTGAGGGAGGTTGTTGCTAGGTAACTATACAGTTCTACTTGTCTGCCTGAGGGGAGGTTGTTGCTGCCACAAAGGGAGGTAACTATACAGTTCTACTTGTCTGCCTGAGGGGAGGTTGTTGCTAGGTAACTATACTTCTACTTGTCTCTGCCTGAGGGAGGCTTGTTGCTAGGGAGGAATTAACTATACAGTTCTACTGAGTCTGCCTGAGGGAGGTTGTTGCTAGGTAACTATACAGTTCTACTTGTCTGCCTGAGGGAGGTTGTTGCTAGGTAACTATACAGTTCTACTTGTCTGCCTGAGGGAGGTTGTTGCTAGGTAACTATACAGTTCTACTTGTCTGCCTGAGGGAGGTTGTTGCTAGGTAACTATACAGTTCTACTTGTCTGTCTGCCTGAGGGAGGTTGTTGCTAGGTAACTATACAGTTCTACTTGTCTGCCTGAGGGAGGTTGTTGTATGCTAGGTAACTATACAGTTCTACTTGTCTGCCTGAGGGAGGTTGTTGCTATGTAACTATACAGTTCTACTTGTCTGCCTGAGGGAGGTTGTTGCTAGGTAACTATACAGTTCTACTTGTCTGCCTGAGGGAGGTTGTTGCTAGGTAACTATACAGTTCTACTTGTCTGCCTGAGGGAGGTTGTTGCTAGGTAACTATACAGTTCTACTTGTCTGCCTGAGGGAGGTTGTTGCTAGGTAACTATACAGTTCTACTTGTCTGCCTGAGGGAGGTTGTTGCTAGGTAACTATACAGTTCTACTTGTCTGCCCGAGGGAGGTTGTTGCTAGGTAAAAATACAGTTTATCATGTCAGGGAGATGGAGGCTGTTGCTATGTAACAAGACAGTTTGTCATAGTCAGGGAGATGGAGGCATATTATACATATTAGAAAGTCATGGATATTTGTGTTGGATGGGCAACCTGGTTAGATTACAAAGCAGATTCATGTCTGAATGGGCAGTCTTTAGAGGATCCTGCTGGTGCTTGAGAGTTGTGCTTGATTGCAATACAGTACTTTGTCTGTAGCTGACTGGGACCTGTAGAGCATTCACTCACTAGCTCATTCTCATCTTCCCCCAGTCAGAGGAAGAGAAGCAGCTGATGAAGCTGATACGTAGGGAGGAGAAGAAACTGTCCAAGCGGGACGGGAAGAAAGTGGAGGAAGAAGGGAAGAAAGCCTTCAACCCTATGGAGATGCGTGCCCAGAGGTGAGTGCCTCCAGTCCCCAGGAAATGGGTGCCCTGAAATGTGTAACTTGAATCCCTTTGAAAGTGTGCCCAGAGGTGAGTACCTTCAACCCCCTAGAGGTGTTTGCCCAGTGGTGAGTACCTTCAACCCCCTACAGGTGTGTGCCCAGAGGTGAGTACCTTCAACCCCCTACAGGTGTGTGCCCAGAGGTGAGTACCTTCAACCCCCTACAGGTGTGTGCCCAGAGGTGAGTACCTTCAACCCCCTACAGGTGTGTGCCCAGAGGTGAGTACCTTCAACCCCCTACAGGTGTGTGCCCAGAGGTGAGGTGAGTACCTTCAACCCCTACAGGTGTGTGCCCAGAGGTGAGTACCTTCAACCCCCTACAGGTGTGTGCCCGGAGGTGAGTACCTTCAACCCCCTACAGGTGTGTGCCCAGAGGTGAGTACCTTCAACCCTCTACAGGTGTGTGCCCGGAGGTGAGTACCTTCAACCCCCTACAGGTGTGTGCCCAGAGGTGAGTACCTTCAACCCTCTAAAGGTGTGTGCCCGGAGGTGAGTACCTTCAACCCCCTAGAGGTGTGTGCCCAGAGGTGAGTACCTTCATTACATTACATTACATTTATATATACATTTATATAGCACTAATATCCAGTCTTAAGAAGACTGCTCAAGAGCGCTGCTGAACTCTGTCTGCAATGCTGAACAAATGAGTTTTTAATCTGGATTTGAAAGTACTGAATGTCTCTACTGATCGAAGAGAGAGGGGTGTTCCACAAAGCTGGGCCGACAACCTGAAAAGACCTTTCACCAAATGTCTTGGTCCGGCTGACTACAGTCTGGCACATGTGTTGTTGTGATGACCTCAGGTGATGTGCTGGTTTATATTCTTGCACAAGGTCTGAGAGATAAACTGGTGCCATTTTGTGCAAGGCTTTGAACATCAGTACCATTATTTTGTAATGGATACGTTGTCGGATGGGTAACCAGTGCAATGTCATCAGAACAGGTGCTATATGCTCTGTCTTCTTTGTGAGGGTCACAACTCGGGCAGCTGAGTTCTGGACTCTCTGTAACTTGCTCAGAAGATATTCTGGAATCCCCTGCAGCAGAGCATTGCAATAGTCCAACCGAGATACTACATATGCTTGCATCAATGTTGCAGCAGTTTGCTGGTTGATGTACTTCCTGATTTAGCCTATGTTGCGGATGAAATAGTAGGCATTTTTGCACATTTTATTGACATGCTTTTCAAGGCTAATAGTGCTGTCAAATATCACCCCAAGATTGCAAGCATGATCAGTGGGTTCAACTTCATCGATTTCAAGTGTTATTAAAGACAACCTTTGTCGTGTTGAACTTGAATAGAGAATGAGCATTTCTGTTTTGTGTCAATTCAGCTTCAGGAACATTCTCTTCCCACAGAGGTTACTTGTCATATCTTCCTACGTAACCTCTGTTCTAATACAGCCCTTTCATGGTGTGAGCGTTAAAGACTCGTGATTGGAGGCAATCAGATTTAGTTGTGCAATCAGCGACATTGTTTCAAAAGTGATCATTCGCAAGGCCTCGGTAATTTCCGTATGCTTCGAGAGAACTAACCTCTTCCCCTGCGCGATGCGCAAACGTTTCTTCTAGACAGTACTCAGTCATGTTATGGCGGATCAGTGGCGTCTCCATCGCCCTCGTTGACAACGGACAAGCTAGCCATTAAACGTCTTGTGTGTAACATCAACACAATTCCCCGGCAGATGGGGGATATTTGTGGCCCCACATTTGCGTGTGTTAGTCAAGTTGAATCTAAGTCGATGTAACACGTGTTCTGATTGGATAGAAAGAAGGGAGATAATTCGTGTTGCGATCTTTTGCCGCTAGGGGATTTTACGAGAACCGAGAAATATGGCCGTATTAGAACAGAGGTTACGTAGGAAGATATGACAAGTAACCTCTGCGGGAAGAGAATGCTTCAGGAAATGTCTGGTCATCCTTCACTGTCAACTTAACTGTCTCTATAAAACTGTTGATCCATGTTATTTCTATATCACCAGATGGAGTAGGTTGTTTCAGGTGAAACATGTTTTAAGGTAGCTGCCTTAAATCCAGCAAGTACATTCCATGAAGTGTAACCATGGCAACTGTGTGTTTGCAGGGAGGCGGCGCTGCAGGTGGCCTCCAACCGTCCGCTGTTCACAGGCAGCAGCAAGTCCTACCAGCGAGAGAGATACCCATTTGTGTTTGACTCTTAACGAGGAGGCGAGACAGTCGTCAGCATATGTTGGAGGGAACAAGGTGAGTTTCCTGTCCAGTCCCTTGTGCAGGAGCTGAAGGTCGGATGGTATTGTGCAGGAGCTGAATGTCAGAGGGTTTTGTGCAGGTGCTGAATGTCAGATGGTGTTGTGTAGGAGCTGAATGTTGGATGGTATTGTGCAGGAGCTGAATGTCAGATGGTATTGTGTAGGAGCTGAAGGTTGGATGGTATTGTGCAGGAGCTGAATGTCGGATGGTATTGTGCAGGAGCTGTAGGTCTGATGGTATTGTGCCGGAGCTGAAGGTCGGATGGTATTGTGCAGGAGCTGAATGTCAGATGGTATTGTACAGCGGCTGAATGTCAGATGGTGTTGTGTAGGAGCTGAATGTCAGATGGTATTGTGCAGGAGCTGAATGTCAGAGGGTGTTGTGTAGGAGCTGAATGTCAGAGGGTGTTGTGTAGGAGCTGAATGTCAGATGGTGTTGTGTAGGAGCTGAATGTCAGATGGTATTGTGTAGGAGCTGAATGTCAGATGGTACTGTGCAGGAGCTGAATGTCAGATGGTATTGTGCAGGAGCTGAAGGACGGATGGTATTGTGTAGGTGCTGAATGTCAGATGGTATTGTGTAGGAGCTGAATGTCAGATGGTACTGTGCAGGAGCTGAATGTCAGATGGTGTTATGTAGGAGCTGCATGTCAGATGGTGTTGTGTAGGAGCTGAATGTCAGATGGTATTGTGTGGGAGCTGAATGTCAGATGGTGTTGTGTAGGAGCTGAATGTCAGATGGTGTTGTGTAACAGCTGAATGTCAGAGGGTGTTGTGTAGGAGCTGAATGTCAGATGGTATTGTGTAGGAGCTGAATGTCAGATGGTATTGTGTAGGAGCTAAATGTCAGAGGGTGTTGTGTAGGAGCTGAATGTCAGAGGGTGTTGTGCAGGAGCTATTCAGATGGTGTTGTGTAGGAGCTGAATGTCAGATGGTCAGAGAGGTGTTGTGTAGGAGCTGAATGTCAGAGGGTGTTGTGTAGGAGCTGAATGTCAGATGGTGTTGTGTAGGAGCTGAATGTCAGATGGTATTGTGGTGTTGTGTAGGAGCTGAATGTCAGATGATGGTATTGTGTAGGAGCTGCATGTCAGAGATGGTGTTGTGTAGGAGCTGAATGTCAGATGGTGTTGTGTAGGAGCTGAATGTCAGAGGGTGTTGTGTAGGAGCTGAATGTCAGATGGTATTGTGTAGGAGCTGAATGTCAGATGGTACTGTGCAGGAGCTGAATGTCAGATGGTGTTGTGCAGGAGCTGAAAGGTCGGATGGTATTGTGTAGGTGCTGAATGTCAGATGGTATTGTGTAGGAGCTGAATGTCAGATGGTACTGTGTAGGAGCTGAATGTCAGATGGTGTTATGTAGGAGCTGCATGTCAGATGGTGTTGTGTAGGAGCTGAATGTCGGATGGTATTGTGTAGGAGCTGAATGTCAGATGGTGTTGTGTAGGAGCTGAATGTCAGATGGTGTTGTGTAACAGCTGAATGTCAGATGGTGTTGTGTAGGAGCTGAATGTCAGATGGTATAGTGTAGGAGCTAAATGTCAGATGGTATTGTGTAGGAGCTGAATGTCAGATGGTGTTGTGTAGGAGCTGAATGTCAGATGGTATTGTGTAGGAGCTGAATGTCAGATGGTGTTGTGTAGGAGCTGAATGTCAGATGGTGTTGTGTAACAGCTGAATGTCAGATGGTGTTGTGTAGGAGCTGAATGTCAGATGGTATAGTGTAGGAGCTAAATGTCAGATGGTATTGTGTAGGAGCTGAATGTCGGATGGTGTTGTGTAGGAGCTGAATGTCAGATGGTATTGTGTAGGAGCTGAATGTCAGATGGTGCTGTGCAGGAGCTGAATGTCGGATGGTGTTGTGTAGGAGCTGCATGTCAGATGGTGTTGTGTAGGAGCTGAATGTCAGAGGGTGTTGTGTAGGAGCTGAATGTCAGATAGTGTTGTGTAGGAGCTGAATGTCAGATGGTATTGTGTAGGAGCTAAATGTCAGAGGGTGTTGTGTAGGAGGTGAATGTCAGATGGTGTTGTGCAGGGTTTGGAGTTCCTTTATTAGATTGTCAGTGGCATAATAAGATTTGTAACAGGAGTATTGTATCTATAGAAATTGTTTTCAGAATGACATGCAAGGTTTATGCAAGAAATTATTTCATGCAGAACTAATTGTGAATCAGCAAAGGACCACACCAAATTGTTGAGTTAAAACAGGTCCAGTATGTTTTGAGCACCTTGAACTGATTGTACGCTCACTGTTTGAAAGAGTTTTGTCTCAATTCCTGAGCCCAGAATGGCAGCTGCAAAGATTTTTTCCCACTAGGCCTCATACAGTCCGCATCCTAGAAACTGCAACATATGTTATTTTGGGTATTATACGTTATCAGTAAAGTACTGACTTTAGTGCATTATTTTCTCTTTTGGGGTGCAGTGTTGTTCCATCCAGAATGCGAGCCCACACTCTCAGAGTCAGGCACCCAATGGCCTGCACACAAAGTCAGCGATCTAACCCACTCAGACACTGCAGCTACCACAAATGAACGTCTGACAACTGGTAGTCTAGATCAAGTACTTTGTGTACTCTTCTGACAAGTGTAAATTGGCACAGATCCCATTGCTGAAAGCTATGAATACACAAGCCATTTAGAAAGTGTCAGATGTAACATGTTATATTTGGGATTACATTTTTATCCCCCCGGCATGTAATGCGGGGGGATATAGTCGTCGCCTCGTCGGTCTATCCGTCCGTCCGTAATCATTTTGTTTCCAGAGCATAACTCAAAAACTGTACAATATTTTTCAACAAAACTTTGTAGATATATCAAACAGATCCTTAAGCTGTGCCTTTTGCTATTTGCAGACTTTTGGCATTTTTATTTTTCCGATTTCCATGGAAACGATTCGGACTTAATCCCAAAAGGGAGGGGTGGTCTTCGTTTCTGGAGCATAACTCAAGAACCGTTCAATATTTTTCATCAAAACGTGGTAGATATATCAAACAGAACTTGAATTGGTGCCTTTTGCTATTTGCAGATTTTTGGAATTTTTATTTTTCGCGGTTTCCATGGAAACGATTCGGACTTAGTCCCAAAAGGGAGGGGTGGGTTTCGTTTCCGGAGCACAACTCGAAAACTTCTCAATATCTTTCAGCAAAACTTGGCAGATGTGTGAGGCAGATCCCAAAGTGGTGCCTTTGCTATTTGCAGATATTTGTGATTTATTATTTTCTCAGGTTTTCATGGAAATGATTCGGACTTAGTCTCAAAAGGAAGGGGTGTGTTTCGTTTCCGGAGCACAACGCGAAAACTTCTTAATATCTTTCAGCAAAACTTGGCAGGTATGTGAGGCAGATGCCAAAGTGGTGCCTTTTGCTATTTGGCAGAAATTTGGCATATTTATTTTTCCCGATTTTCATGGAAACGATTCGGACTTAATCCCAAAAGGTAGGGTGGGCTTCGTTTCCGGAGTATAACTCAAGAACTGTTCAATATTTTTCAACAAAACTTGGTAGATATATCAAACAGAACCTTAAGTGGTGCCTTTTTCTATTTGCAGATTTTTGGCATTTTTGTTTTTTGCGGTTTCCATGGAAACCATTTAGACTTAGTCCCAAAAGGGAGGGGTGGGCTTCGTTTCCGGAGCATGACTCGAAAACCTCTTAATATCTTTCAGCAAAACTTGGCAGATATGTGAGGCAGATCCCAAAGTGGTGCCTTTTGCTATTTGCAGATTTTTGTGATTTATTATTTTCTCAGTTTCCATGGAAACGATTCAGATTTAGTCTCAAAAGGGAGAGGTAGGTTTTGTTTCCGGAGCACAACGCGAAAACTTCTTAATATCTTTCAGCAAAACTTTGCAGATATGTGCGACAGATCCCAAAGTGGTGCCTTTTGCTATTTGCAGATTTTTGTCATTTTTATTTTTCTTGGTTTCCAGGGAAACGATTCAGACTTAGTCTCAAAAGGGCAGGGTAGGTTTCGTTTCCAGAGCACAACGCGAAAACTTCTTAATATCTTTCAGCAAAACTTAGCAGATATGTGAGGCAGATCTTGAAGTGGTGCCTTTTGCTATTTGCAGATTTTTGTCATTTATGTTTTTCATGATTTCCATGGAAACGATTTGCACTTTGTGTAAAATCAAGCTGGACTTTAAGTAACTGTCAGATGATTTGTTCTTTCAAAGATGTGGGGGCCGGTGGGATATGTCATCTTCTGATGACTCTTGTTTCAATGAACCTTTCTTCCCTTCCCAACACTGTACAGACTTCCAGTTTGTGGAAGCCTGGTACCAGTGGTGTATGTACCATCATTGTGCCCCAACCTGTACCAGCCCCCAACCCCCCCCTCAACATTGTACCCAGCCCCAACATTGTACCAGCCCCCAACATTGTACCAGCCCCCCAACATTGTACCAGCCCCAACAACACTGTACCAGCCCCCAACACCAGCCCCAACATTGTACCAGCCCCCAACATTGTACCAGCCCCAACATTGTACCAGCCCCCAACATTGTACCAGCCCCCAACATTGTACTGTACCACAACATTGTACCAGCCCCAACAACCAGCCCCCAACATTGTACCAGCCCCATTGTACCAGCCCCCAACATTGTACCAGCCCCAACATTGTACCAGCCCCCAACATTGCCCCCCAACATTGTACCAGCCCCAAACATTGTAACCTTGTACCAGCCCCTCAACATTGTACCCAGCCCCAACATTGTACCAGCCCCCAACATTGTACCACCCCCCCAACATTGTACCAGCCCCCAACATTGTACCAGCCCCCAACATTGTACCAGCCCCAACATTGTACCGGCCCCCAACATTGTACCAGCCCCAACATTGTACCAGCCCCCAACATTGTACCAGCCCCCAACATTGTACCAGCCCCAACACTGTACCAGCCCCAACACTGTACCAGCCCCCAACACTGTACCAGCCCCCCAACATTGTACCAGCCCCCCAACATTGTGCCCCAACATTGTACCAGCCCCAACATTGTACCAGCCCCCAACATTGTACCAGCCCCAACATTTCAGCCCCCAACACTGTACCAGCCCCAACTTGTACCAGCCCCCAACATTGTACCAGCCCCCAACATTGTACCAGCCCCCAACATTGTACCAGCCCCAACATTGTACCAGCCCCCAACACTGTACCAGCCCCAACAGTCATTCGCTGTACCACTGACCTGCTACACCACAGCATCCTGCACAGCATCCTGCCACAGCCGCTGTGATGAAGCCTTGTGTACAATGCCAGCAATGTATATTCATATCAAACATACCTACACAGTGTGATACAGAAGATAAAGCCATTTATTCAGAAATCTAACAGGTTGTTATTGTGGTTATTGTGGTGAAAATGGAGGCTGACTCTCCAGACTGCTTGTTATCTTGTTCAGGTTGAGGTAATACTCACTGTTAGTATTTAGTGTGTTTGTTTGTCTGACATTTGTGTTGAACACATCAGTCTTTATTATTCATTTCCCCTCATGGAGAATGTGAATAAACAGTTCTTTACATGCTACCACAGATGGTGCTGCCCCAAGGATTCAACCGCAATGACAACAAGGACTATGAGGAGGTGTCTGTTCCCCCCAATGAATCCGCCCCCATAGATGTGGGGCAGAGACTTGTACCTGTCAACGAGCTGGATGAGGTGAGACACATGTCATCATTACTGTATACATATTTCCGTATATCACTAGATGTGACAAGGGATATATTACTCATTTTAACATTAAAATATCACTAATTATAGCACCAGGTATATTGCAGGATATAGCTTTTTATATATCACTCATTATAGTGTGGGAAATGTGGGTGGATATAACTCTAGATACATGGCAGGATAAATAACTGAATGTATTGCAGGATACATACTAGATGTAACTGGATATATTGCAGGATATATAACTAGATGTAACTGGATATATTGCAGGATATATAACTAGATGTAACTGAATGTATTGCATGATATATAACTAGATGTAACTGAATGTATTGCAGGATATATAACTAGATGTAACTGGATATATTGCAGGATATATAACTAGATGTAACTGGATATATTGCAGGATATATAACTAGATGTAACTGAATGTATTGCAGGATATATAACTAGATGTAACTGAATGTATTGCAGGATATATAACTAGATGTAACTGGATATATAACTAGATGTAACTGGATATATTGCAGGATATATAACTAGATGTAACTGGATATATTGCAGGATATATAGCTAGATGTAACTGGATATATTGCAGGATACATACTAGATATAACAGGATATATTGCAGGATACATACTAGATGTAACTGAATGTATTGCAGGATATATAACTAGATGTAACTGAATGTATTGCAGGATATATAACTAGATGTAACTGGATATATTGCAGGATATATAACTAGATGTAACTGGATATATTGCAGGATACATACTAGATATAACAGGATATATTGCAGGATACATACTAGATGTAACTGAATGTATTTCAGGATATATAACTAGATGTAACTGAATGTATTGCAGGATATATCACTAGATGTAACTGGATACATGTATATTGGAGGATATATAGCTAGATGTAGCTGGATATATTGCAGGATATATAACTAGATGTAACTGGATATATTGCAGGATATATACTAGATGTAACTGGATATATTGCAGGATACATTCTAGATGTAACTGAATGTATTGCAGGATATATAACTAGATGTAACTGGATACATGTATATTGGAGGTTATATAGCTAGATGTAGCTGGATATATTGCAGGATATATAACTAGATGTAACTGGATATATTGCAGGATATATACTAGATGTAACTGGATATATTGCAGGATACATACTAGATGTCACTGGATATATTGCAGGATACATACTAGATGTTACAGGATATATTGCAGGATACATACTAGATGTAACTCGATATATTGCAGGATACATACTAGATGTAACAGGATATATTGCAGGATACATAATTGATGTAACTGAATGTATTGCAGGATATATAACTAGATGTAACTGAATGTATTGCAGGATATATCACTAGATGTAACTGGATACATGTATATTGGAGGATATATAGCTAGATGTAGCTGGATATATTGCAGGATATATAACTAGATGTCACTGGATATATTGCAGGATATATAACTAGATGTAACTGGATATATTGCAGGATATATAACTAGATGTCACTGGATATATTGCAGGATATATAACTAGATGTCACTGGATATATTGCAGGATATATAACTAGATGTAACTGGATATATTGGAGGATATATAACTAGATGTAACTGGATAAATTGCAGGATATATAACTAGATGTAACTGGATATATTGCAGGATGTATAACTAGATGTAACTGGATATATTGCAGGGTACATAGCTAGATGTAACTGGATACATGTATATTGGAGGATATATAGCTAGATGTAGCTGGATATATTGCAGGATATATAACTAGATGTAACTGGATATATTGCAGGATATATAGCTAGATGTAACTGGATACATGTATATTGGAGGATATATAACTAGATGTAACTGGATATATTGCAGGATATATAACTAGATGTAACTGGATATATTGCAGGATATATAACTAGATGTAACTGGATATATTGCAGGATATATAACTAGATGTAACTGAATATATTGCAGGATATATAACTAGATGTAACTGGATATATTGCAGGATATATAACTAGATGTAACTGGATATATTGCAGGATATATAACTAGATGTAACTGGATACATGTATATTGGAGGATATATAACTAGATGTAGCTGGATATATTGCAGGATATATAACTAGATGTAACTGGATATATTGCAGGATATATAACTAGATGTAACTGGATATATTGCAGGATATATAACTAGATGTAACTGGATATATTGCAGGATATATAGCTAGATGTAACTGGATACATGTATATTGGAGGATATATAACTAGATGTAGCTGGATATATTGCAGGATATATAACTAGATGTAACTGGATATATTGCAGGATATACAACTAGATGTAACTGGATATATTGCATAATATATAACTAGATGTAACTGAATGTATTGCAGGATATATAACTAGATGTAACTGGATATATTGCAGGATATATAACTAGATGTAACTGGATATATTGCAGGATGTATAACTAGATGTAACTGGATATATTGCAGGATATATAACTAGATGTAACTGGATATATTGCAGGATATATAACTAGATGTAACTGGATATATTGCAGGATATATAGCTAGATGTAACTGGATATATTGCATGATATATAACTTGATGTAACTCTGGACATATTGCAGGATATAAAACTGGGTGTTACTTGAAATATATAATTATATGATTTGTCTAACTTGAGCTACATCTTGTACACATGATCATCAATGTTGTTGTGTCGAAAACAAATGTGATTTGCTGGTATTTGCTCTGCCAAAGATTGGACAGCTGGCATTCCGGGGAATGAAGAACTTGAACCGCATCCAATCTGTGGTGTTCGAAGCTGCCTTCAAGACCAATGAAAACCTGCTGATCTGTGCCCCAACTGGCGCCGGTAAAACCAACATTGCCATGTTAACCATCCTGCATGAGCTGAATCTGCACCTGTCTCAGGGCGTCATCAAGAAAGATGAGTTCAAGGTAACTCCTTTGAGAGGTATTTAGAAGTTGTATAGATGAAGGAAAACCAAGTTCTATGGATAGTCAACGTCTTTATTGCAATGAGTGCTACGTTTCGGTGTAGGTACTAACACCGTTATCAAGCAAGTGATACAATACATGGCTGCATAGTGTGTATATACAATTGACATGGTTGATATACACTGGATTGCTAATTAGTGATTTGAGCAGAGTAGGTTGATGTACACAGTGATAGTGATTAAAACAATATGTAGAATGAGTTTATACAATAGATGAGTTGATGTACACTGAAATGGTAATGTGAGTTGAGAGTAGGTTGATGTACAGAGTGATAGTGATTAAAACAATATGCAGAATGGGTTTATACAACAGATGAGTTGATGTACACTGAGATGGTAATGTGAGTTGGAGAGAGTAGGTTGATGTACAGAGTGATAGTGATTAAAACAATATGCAGAATAGGTTTATACAATAGATGAGTTGATGTACACTGAGATGGTAATAGTGAGTTGGAGAGAGTAGGTTGATGTACACATGATTAGTTGTGATTACAATACACAAAAGAGTGATAGGCCAAGGAGATAAAATAACCTCGATCCCGGTTCCTGGTGGGATTGAAGCATTGGATCTTTATGGCTTCAAGAAGTTTCCTAATCTTGTAGTCTGCTCGGTTGGTTTCCAGGATGTGGATGTTGTCCCAAAGGATAGCATGGTCAGGATTGGCGTGGGTGTGGTCAGCTATGGTGGATTTGGAGTCTTTTTTTCTGGACTGAAGTTTTGTGTTCTTTAATTGGTAGTGGGAGAGGCCGGGACGTTTCACCTATGTAAGAGTCTCCACGGTGGAATTGATCTTCAACTGTTTGTAGGTGGCAGGGTTGTTCAGGATGTTGTCAGTTAGGTTGGTGAAGTCGGTGGTGTCCATGATGACGGTGGCTCTTCCCTTGTCTCCAGGGGCGATGGTGATGGCCGGGTCAGACTGCAATTGTTTGAAGGTTGCCTTGTTTTCATTAGTTAACTTATCTTATATTTTTGCATTTGAATTTGTGTTGTGATCTGCAATTATGTTGTGAGCTGTGACTATCCAAACATGCTTGTAGATTGTGTATGTCGCTCCAATGAAAGCTCTGGCAGCAGAGATGGTGCGAAACTTTGGTGGCCGCCTGGAGCCACTAGGCATCACAGTACGGGAACTGACAGGGGACATGTCCCTCACAAAGGCCGAGATCCTGAAAACACAGGTAAGCTGGGGTCACAGGTTAGCAGGGATCACAGACAAGTAGGGGTCACACGTTAGCCCGGGTCACAGGTTAGCCGGGTCACAGGTTAGCCAGGGTCACAGGTTAGCAGGGGTCACAGGCTAGTAGGGGTCACAGACTAGTAGGGTCACAGGTTAGTAGGGGTCACAGGTTAGCAGGGGTCACAGGTTAGCAGGGATCACAGACAAGTAGGGGTCACGGGATGGCAGGGTCACAAGTTAACCAGGGTCACAGGTAAGTAGGGGTCACAGGTTAGCTGGGGTCACGGGTAAGCCAGGATCACAGGCAAGTAGATGTCACGGGTTAGCAGGGGTCATGGGCTAGTAGGTGTCACAGGTTAGCAGGGGTCATGGGCTAGTAGGTGTCACAGGTGTAGCAGGGTCAGGGCTTAGCAGGTTAGCAGGGGTCATGGGCTAGTAGGTGTCACAGGTTAGCAGGGGTCATGGGCTAGTAGGTGTCACAGGTTAGCAGGGGTCATGGGCTAGTAGGTGTCACAGGTTAGCAGGGGTCATGGGCTAGTAGGTGTCACAGGTTAGCAGGGGTCATGGGCTAGTAGGTGTCACAGGTTAGCAGGGGTCACAGGCTAGTAGGGTCACAGGTTAGCAGGGGTCACGGACTAGTAGCGGTCACAGGTTAGCAGGGGTCACGGACTCAGTAGGTTAGCAGGGGTCGCGGGTTAGCAGGGATCACAGGAAAGTAGGTGTCACTGGTTAGCAGGGATCACAGGAAAGTAGGTGTCACTGGTTAGCAGGCATCACGGCTAGTGGTGATGACAGATTAGTGTTAGGTTAATTGATGAATAAAAGTCACAGATTAGTTGAGGGACACATAGCCGTGCCTTAATCATATTCCCGAATAGGACTGAAGAAACATTGATTGTTTGGTAATGACTTTTATTCTTCGGAGTTACTTCTTGATTTCAGTTTCTAGTTACTATGTTTAACAATTTTACCTTTGACATAATGTTATTTCATTGACCATCAGACTTCACAGGGTCTGCATGCTCTACAGATTCATGTTCCTAGTGCCAGGTTATTGTAACGTGGAGTATATCTGGCAGATGCTGGTGACGACCCCAGAAAAGTGGGATGTGGTGACAAGGAAGAGTACAGGTGATGTGGCCCTGGCTCAGCTTGTGAAGCTGCTCATCATTGACGAGGTTCACCTGCTTCACGACGACCGTGGTCCAGTCATCGAGAGTCTAGTGGCCAGGACCATCCGACAGGTGTGTCACATTGAGGGAACATTTTGATTGATGTACATTGACACTAGCTAATCGGAATCAAATGTTGCGATATATATAATGTATATATGATATTCTGTGTAATGCCTCTCCCTCTCTCTCTCGGGGCGGTGGAGGTAGCCTAGTGGTTAAAGCGTTCGCTCGTCATGCTGAAGACTCAGGGTTGATTCTCCACATGGGTACATTATGTGAATCCGAATTCTGGTGTCTGCTGCCGTGATATTGCTGGAATATTGCTATAAGCAGCATAAAACTAAACTCACTCACTCACTCACTCTATTTTGTTATGTTGCCATGTTACTAATTGTGATATGGACCATGCGCTGTACTCAGGTGGAGAGTACACAGAGTATGATCCGTATCGTGGGACTGTCGGCAACACTGCCCAACTACATCGACGTGGCCAGGTTCCTCAATGTTAACCCCTACCTTGGACTCTTCTTCTTCGATGGAAGGTTCAGACCTGTGCCCCTCGGCCAGACCTTCATAGGTGAGAACTTAAATACTTCGCCAAAACATGAGAACCTAGACCCGTTTCACGACTTGAGAACTCAGACCCATGTACTTTGGGTAAGAACTTATAGCCTTAGCTTGACATTCATGGATAAGAACATAGACCTGTAACCCTTGTCTAGATCTTCATAGATAAGAACTGGGACCCTTGTGTCAAACCTTCATAGGAGAGAACAGTCCTGTGCTCCTTGTCAAGACCTTTATAGATTACTGACAGCCTTGCCTTGACCTTTATAGGAGAGAACAGTCCTGTGCTCCTTGTCAAGACCTTTATAGATTACTGACAGCCTTGCCTTGGCCTTTATAGGAGAGGACAGTCCTGTGCTCCTTGTCAAGACCTTTATAGATTACTGACAGCCTTGCCTTGACCTTTATAGGAGAGAACAGTCCTGTGCTCCTTGTCAAGACCTTTATAGATTACTGACAGCCTTGCCTTGGCCTTCATAGGAGAGAACAGTCCTGTGCTCCTTGTCAAGACCTTTATAGATTACTGACAGCCTTGCCTTGGCCTTTATAGGAGAGAACAGTCCTGTGCTCCTTGTCAAGAGACCTTTATAGATTACTGACAGCCTTGCCTTGGCCTTTATAGGAGAGAACAGTCCTGTGCTCCTTGTCAAGACCTTTATAGATTACTGACAGCCTTGCCTTGGCCCTTTATAGGAGAGAACAGTCCTGTGCTCCTTGTCAAGACCTTTATAGATTACTGACAGCCTTGCCTTGACCTTTATAGGAGAGAACAGTCCTGTGCTCCTTGTCAAGACCTTTATAGATTACTGACAGCCTTGCCTTGACCTTTATAGGAGAGAACAGTCCTGTGCTCCTTGTCAAGACCTTTATAGATTACTGACAGCCTTGCCCTTCATAGGACAGTCTTCATAGGTCAAGAACAGTCCTGTGCTCCTTGTCAAGACCTTTATAGGATTACAGTGACAGCCTTGCCTTGACCTTTATAGGAGAGACAGTCCTGTGCTCCTTGTCAAGACCTTTATAGATTACTGACAGCCTTGCCTTGACCTTTATAGGAGAGAGGACAGTCCTGTGCTCCTTGTCAAGACCTTTATAGATTACTGACAGCCTTGCCTTGACCTTCATAGGAGAGAACAGTCCTGTGCTCCTTGTCAAGACCTTTATAGATTACTGACAGCCTTGCCTTGACCTTCATAGGAGAGAACAGTCCTGTGCTCCTTGTCAAGACCTTTATAGATTACTGACAGCCTTGATTTGACCTTTATAGGAGAGAACAGTCCTGTGCTCCTTGTCAAGACCTTTATAGATTACTGACAGCCTTGCCTTGACCTTCATAGGAGAGAACAGTCCTGTGCTCCTTGTCAAGACCTTTATAGATTACTGACAGCCTTGCCTTGACCTTTATAGGAGAGAACAGTCCTGTGCTCCTTGTCAAGACCTTTATAGATTACTGACAGCCTTGCCTTTGACCTTTCATAGGAGAGAACAGTCCTGTGCTCCTTGTCAAGACCTTTATAGATTACTGACAGCCTTGCCTTGACCTTTATAGGAGAGAACAGTCCTGTGCTCCTTGTCAAGACCTTTATAGATTACTGACAGCCTTGCCTTGACCTTCATAGGAGAGAAAGAACAGTCCTGTGCTCCTTGTCAAGACCTTTATAGATTACTGACAGCCTTGCCTTGACCTTTATAGGAGAGAACAGTCCTGTGCTCCTTGTCAAGACCTTTATAGATTACTGACAGCCTTGCCTTGACCTTTATAGGAGAGAACAGTCCTGTGCTCCTTGTCAAGACCTTTATAGATTACTGACAGCCTTGCCTTGGCCTTTATAGGAGAGGACAGTCCTGTGCTCCTTGTCAAGACCTTTATAGATTACTGACAGCCTTGCCTTGACCTTTATAGGAGAGAACAGTCCTGTGCTCCTTGTCAAGACCTTTATAGATTACTGACAGCCTTGCCTTGACCTTTATAGGAGAGAGAACAGTCCTGTGCTCCTTGTCAAGACCTTTATAGATTACTGACAGCCTTGCCTTGACCTTTATAGGAGAGAACAGTCCTGTGCTCCTTGTCAAGACCTTTATAGATTACTGACAGCCTTGCCTTGACCTTTATAGGAGAGAACAGTCCTGTGCTCCTTGTCAAGACCTTTATAGATTACTGACAGCCTTGCCTTGACCTTTATAGGAGAGAACAGTCCTGTGCTCCTTGTCAAGACCTTTATAGATTACTGACAGCCTTGCCTTGACCTTTATAGGAGAGAACAGTCCTGTGCTCCTTGTCAAGACCTTTATAGATTACTGACAGCCTTGCCTTGACCTTCATAGGAGAGACAGTCCTGTGCTCCTTGTCAAGACCTTTATAGATTGACTGACAGCCTTGCCTTGACCTTGTCAAGACCTTTATAGGAGAGGACAGTCCTGTGCTCCTTGTCAAGACCTTTATAGATTACTGACAGCCTTGCCTTGACCTTCATAGGAGAGGACAGTCCTGTGCTCCTTGTCAAGACCTTTATAGATTACTGACAGCCTTGCCTTGCCCTTCATAGGAGAGAACAGTCCTGTGCTCCTTGTCAAGACCTTTATAGATTACTGACAGCCTTGCCTTGACCTTCATAGGAGAGGACAGTCCTGTGCTCCTTGTCAAGACCTTTATAGATTACTGACAGCCTTGCCTTGGCATACTTTGCCAAACCATAAAAGATAAGAAGTTATACCTGTGCCCATTGTCTTGGTCCTCACAAATTAGACCTTCACAGATGACTTAGACCAGACCATAGACCAGATATTTTTCCTTATCCTGACTCATGCTCTTTTGCTTGTCTTCTTCTTCTTGCGAACATAGTGGAAACACTTGTATCTCCTTAATTGAAGCTCCCTTCAATGTAAAATCACTAATAGTACTCACCACGAGTTGCTCCCCTTTAATCCCTTTTTGGCGGGAAAGGTGTCGCCACCTCACACCTCGTGCTTCACTCTCTCCTTCTTCGCCCAGTGAGCAGGATGTGAGAGCGCCTGTGTCTCCTTACACAACATATCCTTTGATTTTTCTTAGTTTATTACTTCTTATAGTGTACTATAGAAGTATAGCTAGTATCCTTCAGTAATCTGTATTGATTATTTATCGTATTTCTACTGTTTATTCACGTGTATTAGTGATTGTTCAGCTAGTATTACGTTGATGAAAATCTGTACTATTTGTAGATTACGTTTTTCTGCCTCAGATACGCATGTAATATGCCCTAGTTGTTCTACGCCGTGTGCATTTGATTCACGTTGCAGTTATTGCATTGATTTATCTAATTCTGCATTTAATAAATACTATCTTTGCGTCTTAAGGCGTGCTGCAGATAGGTCACGCAAACAAAGGGCTAAATATGGCTGATGCTCCAGATACTCCATCTAGTCAGCTGCTGGCGATCGACCCCCTACCGTCTGGTGTTCTGCTAGAGACCCCATCGGAAGAGGGCGTTGGGCATGATCCGTCACCTCTAAGAAGCGACCGGCCTCCCCAGACATCCCGTCATCGCAGCAAAGTCCAAGAGGGCCTCGGCGTCTTCTCAGCGCGAACTTAACCCCAGGGCAGCGTCGACATCCAAAGGAAAGTCTACGAAGACAGCGAGAACTTTCTCAGCTGAGATCGTTCCAGCCCGAAGAAATGGGCCTCGATGACCAGCCGATTATCATCCCGACATACGGCACAAGAAGCGGCGGTGTCAGCGACAGTGACTTCAGCAGAGATCTTCATGCAGCCTGATGCCTCTACACTGATGTCAGGCGTTATTGCTGTGGACCCCATCATTAACTCCAGAGAGAAAGGCTCAGAGAACAACATCGCCAGACCATCCCTGATGACCTGATGCAGCAAATTATGACGATGATGGAAGACCGATATAGACTGCAGAAGCAAGGACCGAGCCTTGCGAAGGCTCCAACGTGACAGCACCCCAGAGGCACCCCCTGTCAGCGAGGCAGCCAGACGATGTCACCTTCGCGAAGGAAGGCACGGACCACCTCCACGAAGGACCTAGATGTACAGCCTTCGCGAAGGCGGGATAGATCATCACCCTCGTCACCTTCATCCCAAGATGTGGACTCGGACCATCAGACATCACGAAAGCCTTCGCGAAGGTCTTATCGTAATTCCCCCGGACCGGACGCAGAGGAAGCTTCGCGAAGGCATTCGCGAAGGGCAGCTGAATCCAGATCTTCATCATCTAGAAGGACATCGAGGGACTACACAAGAACTTCGCGAAGCTATCAACGTTCTCCTCACAGGTCACCGAGAAGATCAACCCATAGACGATCTCCTCTTCGTTCATCCCCCTTAGATCACCTTACAGGTCACCAGACAGAGCTGCACAAGCATCGCCGGACGTAGAGACAGAAGCACACAGTCCAGAACAGCACCAACCTCTCATCAATGATGATGGTATAGAGGATGATGGAGGAGTTATTTTCTCCGATGCTGAGATACGGTATTGGATGGTCAATAACCTAGATCTCTCATCACCATCTAAAAATGGCAGTGTGGCGCAGACATATCTGATGAAAGAAGACGATGCAGATGCTATCACACTACCACCGATCGACCCGATTGCAGCAATTCCACAGAATCTAGATGCAGCATTCCACAAAGCCACGAAAGTTCAGACACCACATCTACCTAACTTTCATGCCAAGAAGTTCTCCACCCATAACATGGACCCCTTCTTCAAAGCTCAAGACATCGATGAGAACTATAAGTTGATCAACGATGTCAAGTACAAGAATTACAAGATTGATGATCGCAAGTTAGTCCAGATAGAAACCATGGCGAGGCATTATGTTTTTGGTTTAAATAGATCTAGAACGATCAATGAGACTCTTATCACCAGATTTCGGTGATACAACTTCTGAGGATGATAGAATGATTTATTCTGCCTTACTTATGCAAAGAAAGACCAGCAGTTCCTAACAGATCATCTTACATCTATTTCAGCAGCACTGACCTTAGCTCGTCGTCAAAGGCCTCCTCGCTTCCTGCAACTGGGGTGAGAACTTTACAGCCCCACTGTATACAGCCCCGTGGTCTTCAACATCCATCTTTAATGGAGAAATAGACAAAGTTTCCAAGGAAGTCACTAAGGATTCCAGAGAAGTCCTGATGATTAGATCGATGGACACACTAGCCAGCGTCATCCGACAGACCTCTCAAAGATACTCAGGAAGATCTAAATTCACGGGCCTACAGAGAGCACGAGACAGGAAGATAGCCAGCTCTAGAGGAAAAGATTCTTTTCGTCGCCCATTCGGCAACTATAGAGGAGGATCAGGAAGAGGCAGGACACCCAGAGGTTCCCAAGAACTATAAACGCTGAAAGACAGGTTCGGAACGACTGGAGTCTTCCACCCCCAGCCGTTCCAGTACAACCATCTCAAGTGGGTGGACGCCTCCAACTTTACTGGGAAAACTGGGGAATGTTACAAGACCCTTATGTCTCCAACATTCTTCGTCACGGATTTCGTATCCAACTAAAGGCCAAGCCTCCGTTGACAGTCAACCCTCACAAGTTCGACTTACAAGCACAACAACTACCGAAGTTAAGAGAGGCTGTCACATCACTTTTAATAAAGCAGGCCATAGAAGTACTAGACCAAGACAACATAGAACCAGGTTTCTACTCCCCAGTTTTCCTAGTTCCCAAGAAAAACTCCAAGGAGAAATACAGACTCATCTACAACATGAGCTTTTTCAACAAGAACTATCTGCGCAAACCCCCGAAGTTCCGCATGATACATTTACCTCAGTTACGGCAGTTGATTCGCCCCATGGACTACATGGGCAGTATCGATCTACAGGACGCTTACCTGCACATCCCGATACACGCCAAAGCCAGGAAATACCTACGGTTTACCTTAGACGGGCAACATTACCAGTGGAAAGTGCTCCCATTCGGAATATCATCAGCCCCCTGGCTTTTCACGAGGATAACGAAACCGATTATCACCTATCTTCATCATCAAGGGCTACGCAGTGCGTTTTACCTCGACGACGGGATACAAGTAGATCAAGATCCACAGCATCTCAAACTACAGTTAAATTACATCATAAAGCTACTAACACAGCTAGGATGGTTAGTAAACTTACTCAAGTCGGACCTAGTACCGTCACAAGACCTACAGTTCCTAGGCATTCGATTTATCACAAATCTCAACCGTATCGTCGTACCAGAAGACCGTTGGATCAAGATCCAACAGACCATTCCACCAGCTCTACGCTCTCCGTTACCACTTCGACAATGGCAGAGCCTCCTAGGTCTCCTCACATCAGCCCAAGACATGACAGTCAGAGGCAGGTTACAGTTACGTCCTTTACAGGTCTTCATCAATGCACATCTCGACGATTTACAGCCATTCAGTCTACCGAAACATCTCAGACCTCATCTACTATGGTGGACAAAGAAATCGAATGTTTGCGAAGGGATTTGTTTAGCAGAGCAGGAATTCAGAACCCATCTATATGTGACGGCGTCACTTCAAGGTTGGGGAGCTCATCTCGCCAACCAGACGACATCAGGATTATGGAACCAACAAGAAAGCAAACTCCATATAAACATCCTAGAGATGAAAGCTGTAATCAACGCCATTCTACATTGGAGCACATTTCTACAAAATCGCACCTTATGATTCATACCGACAATTCCACAGTGGCGTTCTATCGTAAACAAACAAGGCTCAACGAGATCACTGAACCTTTTGAACTTAAGCTTTCAACTATTCGATCTAACCCACGATCTAAATCTACAGATCAGAGCAGTTCACATTCCCGGAGCCAAAAATGTACTAGCAGACGCGGTCTCTCGGCCTCATCTACCATCACCGACAGAGTGGATGCTCAATACGGAAATATTTACACAGATAATCAAGCCGTTAGCAGCGCCGCTAATAGATCTATTCGCCACAAGATTCAACAATCAGTTACCGACATTCGTGTCACCAATCCCAGATCCACAAGCTTGGGAAACGGACGCTCTAAGTATATCATGGGAAGGCCTCAACGCGTACGCGTTTCCGCCGCCAGCAATAATACCTCAAGTATTACAGAAACTCACTTTGGTCACGCCCTACTGGCCAGCCAGAGTATGGTTTCCCATGCTAATTCAAGAAATCGGTCAACCAGTATTAGAGCTACCCAAGCGCTCAAACCTGTTAATACATCCACACACAAAACAAGTGCACGGAAACCCAGAAGTTTACCAACTTCACGTATGGACTGTATACAAATGTGTTTAAACAAGAGAGGATATTCTACCAGGGCGGCAAAAGCGGTCACGCTTGCCTTACGACACTTTCGACTCTTCGTAACTTATCACGGCGACAAGTGGCACAGTTTCAAAATTATGCAGCTAATAAAGGATTTACAGCGAGATGCTTCACATCCTCAAGTGGCAGACTATTTGTGTTACCTAAGGCCAAAACAAACATTTAAGAGGTTCGACGATATCAACATATCTTGCCGCGCTTAGCTCTGTGATCACTATGAGAACGGGTGTCAAGCTGACAAAATCTCCAGAGTTACTGGCCTTACTACGTGCTTTCCGATTGGAGGACCAAAAGCGGAAGTTCCACGCCCCAGCTTGGGATCTGAATGTAGTGTTACAACACCTCACTAGTGAGGCTTATGAACCTTTGGAATCGACAAACTTTGAATTTCTCTCACAGAAAACACTATTTCTGCTATCTCTAGCCACGGCAGCAAGAATATCTGAAATTCACGCTCTGGATTACGAGAGGATACAGTTTGATGACAATCAAAACATAAGCACCTGGGATTAAGATGGGATTTCATCGCAAAAATCAATTACCAGGTCAACCAGATAGGTTATTCCATGTACCAGCACTATCTTCGATTCTCGGATCACAAGATACACAAGACTTATCACTGTGTCCAGTCAGAGCTCTCAAAGTTTACTTACTTAATGATCCAAAACAAGGCGAAGATTTCTCAAAAGATTATTCATCCCCTTATCGCCAACAGAATCAAACAGAAGTCTCACATGCGCTACCATATCTATTTGGATAAGGACTGTCATACTTCACCATGCTTACAAGGCAGCAGGCTTGGACCCACCAACAGCATCAAATCCACATGAGATCAGGGCACTGGCTTCCACCCTCGCCCTGCTGCACGGTAACTGTTCATTGAACACAATTATGGAAGGATGCTTTTGAAATCGAACATGGTGTTTGGCGAATCACTACCTGAGACATCACCACAGAAGATGTCTCTGGCATTCACCATTTAGGCCCTTTGGTCCTCGCTCAACAGCTGACAGTCCCTCGTGAGGGCGTTAAAATATTAACATCACAAGTTTAATATGTATTATATACATAATTTAGCTAGCTTATAACTCTAAGGAGTTCTAGAGCTATGTATATATATTTAGCTTAGGTCATTCACCCCTAAGTATATATGGATATTATCTTTAGTTGTACAGCTTACTCTATCAGAGTCATTATATATATATATAATATATGTAATGGTTTTCTCAATATATATCAATGTAATACCCAATTATGGCATTATATAACCTATGGTTTATATACAGGAAATATCCTAAGTCAATGCCTTCAGAAGTTCCTATACCAGTTATTACAGTTATATTTATACAAAATCACTAATTATAAATCCAAAGTATTCTATTACTCCCTCCTCCGTTCCGTAGGATTCTACAAGCAAGAGAGCATGAGTCAGGATAAGGAAAATATGTAATTTTAGAGTAAAATTGATATTTTATACTTATCCTGACTCATGAGGTCAGCCCTCCCATCCTCCCCCACATAACACTTTGGATTTCCTGTAAGTTCAAGTGTTGGGCTCGCAAAATCAGGAGAGAGTGAAGCACGAGGTGTGAGGTGGCGACACCTTTCCCGCCAAAAAGGGATTAAAGGGGAGCAACTCGTGGTGAGTACTATTAGTGATTTTACATTGAAGGGAGCTTCAATTAAGGAGATACAAGTGTTTCCACTATGTTCGCAAGAAGAAGAAGACAAGCAAAAGAGCATGAGTCAGGATAAGTATAAAATATCAATTTTACTCTAAAAATTACATTTTTATATGTGAGAACTTGGATGTTATTTCTGTCCAGGTGTAAAGGCCACCAACCGAGTGCAGCAGATGATGGAGTTCAACAACGTCTGCTATGAGAAGGTGGTGGCCCAGGTCAAGGCCGGCTACCAGGTACAGTCTACAGACAGGTGATCGGCAAAACTGTTGTGTCCTTGTGGGGACACTCATGCTGGTGACTTGATAGTTTGCAAGTCAAGTGTTAGACCATGGTAGTGTTGGGGATTCTGCCAGTGTTAAACCATGGTGGTGTTGCGATCCAGCCTGAGTTAGACCATGGTAGTGTTGGGGATTCTGCCAGTATTAGTCCATGTCACTGTTGGAGAATCTACCAGTGGTAGACCACTGTGTTGTTGGGGATTCTGCCAGTTTTAGACCATTGTGTTGTAGGGGATTCTGCCAATGTTAGACCATTGTGGTGTTGGGGATTCTGCCAGTGTTAGACCTCCATCTTGTAGGGGATTCTGCCAGTGTTAGACCTCCCAAGTTGTAGGGGATTCTGCCAGTGTTAGACCTGCATGTTGTAGGGGATTCTACCATTGACAACTCTAAATACAGTTTAGGATAAAATGTGCCATAAAGACAAATGTTAAAGGATTTCAGGAAGTATATTTGTTCGTGTAATATTTGATCCTGAGTGAAGCTTGGGCCCATGGACATTCTCATGCTCAGATATATATTTGAAATTGAGAAATACAGTTCTCTCTACCACCATGTATAGTGTAATAAAGTGCACTTTTGCTCTGAACTATTATAGTTGAAGTATGAAGACGTTTGTACAAATATTTGTCTTTCTTAATAATGTTTGTCATACCAACAGTTTTCTTGAAAATGTAAATTCCACATTTTGTGTGTGCAGAGGGTCATTCTGTTTTGCTTGACTGTCTGTTCAGGTGATGGTGTTCGTCCACGCCCGTAATGAGACAGTACGGACAGCCATGATGTTGCGAGACTACTCCAAGAACAGAGGTCACTCCCAGCTGTTCCTCGCTGACCAGGATCGTTCATATGGCGAGGCTCAGAAGAATGTAAGTCTCTAAACCTGCAGTCTGGGGAGGTCAAGAAGTTGACATCCATAAATCTTGCTTTCCTTATGCATTTCATTTCTAAATGCCCTTCAAAAATTTGTATAACTGTTAAGAAATATCATAGATGTACTGCTGCACTAACCCCTTCCTGATGTACTGCTGCACTGACCCATCCTTGATGTACTGCTGCACTAACCCCTTCCTGATGTACTGCTGCACTGACCCATCCTTGATGTACTGCTGCACTAACCCCTCCCTGATGTACTGCTGCACTGACCCATCCTTGATGTACTGCTGCACTAACCCCTTCCTGATGTACTGCTGCACTGACCCATCCCTGATGTACTGCTGCACTAACCCCTCCCTGATGTACTGCTGCACTAACCCCTTCCTGATGTACTGCTGCACTAACCCATCCCTGATGTACTGCTACACTAACCCCTCCCTGATGTACTGCTGCACTGACCCATCCTTTATGTACTGCTGCACTAACCCCTCCCTGATGTACTGCTGCACTGACCCATCCTTGATGTACTGCTGCACTAACCCCTCCCTGATGTACTGCTGCACTAACCCCTCCCTGATGTACTGCTACACTAACCCCTCCCTGATGTACTGCTACACTAACCCCTCCCTGATGTACTGCTGCACTAACCCTCCTTGATGTACTGCTGCACTAACCCTCCCTGATGTACTGCTGCACTAACCCCTCCTTGATGTACTGCTACACTAACCCCTCCCTGATGTACTGCTGCACTAACCCCTCCTTGATGTACCGCTACACTAACCCCTCCCTGATGTACTGCTGCACTAACCCCTCCCTGATGTACTGCTACACTAACCCCTCCCTGATGTATGTACTGCTGCACTACTAACCCTCCCTGATGTACTGCTGCACTAACCCCCTCCCCTGATGTACTGCTACACTAACCCTCCCTGATGTACCTGCACTAACCCTTCCTGATGTACTGCTGCTAACCCCTCCCTGATGTACTGCTGCCTAACCCCTCCCTGCTGTACTGCTGCACTAACCCCTCCCTGATGTACTGCTGCACTAACCCCTCCCTGATGTACTGCTACTACTCCCTCCCTGATGTACTGCTGCACTAACCTCTCCCTGATGTACGGCTACACTAACCCTCCCTGATGCACCGCTGCAACTAACCTCCTAACTGATGTACTGCTGCACTAACCCCTCCCTGATGTACTGCTGCACTAACCCTCCCCTGATGTACTGCTGCACTAACCCCTCCCTGATGTACTGCTGCACTAACCCCTCCCTGATGTACTGCTGCACTAACCCCTCCCTGATGTACTGCTGCACTAACCCCTCCCTGATGTACTGCTGCACTAACCCCTCCCTCATGTACTGCTGCACTAATCCCTCCCTCATGTACTGCTGCACTAACCCATCCCTGATGTACTGCTGCACTAACCCCTCCCTCATGTACTGCTGCACTAATCCCTTGCTGATGTACTGCTGCACTGACCCCTCCCTCATGTACTGCTGCACTAACCCTCCCTGATGTACTGCTGCACTAACCCTCCCTGATGTACTGCTGCACTGCTAACCCCTCCTGTGTACTGCTGCACTAACCTCTCCCTGATGTACTGCTGCACTGAACCCTCCCTCATGTACTGCTGCACTAACCCTTCCCTCATGTACTGCTGCACTAATCCCTTGCTGATGTACTGCTGCACTAACCCCTCCCTCATGTACTGCTGCACTAACCCCTCCCTGATGTACTGCTGCACTAACCCCTCCTTGATGTACTGCTGCACTAACCCATCCCTGATGTACTGCTGCACTAACCCTTCCCTGATGTACTGCTGCACTAACCCCATCCCTGATGTACTGCTGCACTAACCCATCCCTGATGTACTGCTACACTAACCCCTCCCTTATGTACTGCTACACTAACCCCTCCCTGGTGTCCTGCCACAGTTGCAGAGGTCACGGAACAAGCAGTTGAAGGATCTGTTCCCGGACGGCTTCAGCATGCATCATGCCGGGATGCTGCGCCAGGACCGAAACCTGGTAGAGCGGTACTTCAGTGGTGGCCACATCAAGGTGTTGGTGTGTACAGCAACCCTGGCCTGGGGTGTCAATCTGCCTCGCCCATGCTGTCATCATCAAGGTGGGTGAATGTTCGGACGTGATAGTCTGATGATGTTAACTTCTGGAACATGGTTTGTGCAGGTCATCACTATGATGGATTATTAGGAAAATCAACTGGGAAATGTACTTTTACAGAAACAGTTACCAGTTCTATTTCTACGCCTGCACCTTTCCTCCAATTTGATTGTTTAGGCAAGACACAAACGTGGTAATTTTGGATTCGTAACAGCATTTATTCTGTCAAGAATGAAATCCAGAAGAATTTCAATGTAAATTTTTATCCCCCGCAATGCCTTTTGCAGGGGTATTAAAATGGACTCCGTGGCAACAAGTTTGACATAGCCTGAAGTTGGTGGTTGTGCTCTTTTCCGGAGCTGAACTCTAAAACCGTTCACTATTTCTTCACCAAACTTGACAAATAGATTGGTCTGGTGGTGTACTGGTTCCTTTTTGGTAGTTTTGGAATTCTGACTAAAATATTTTTGGTGTTTCCATGGCAACAAGTTTGACTAAAACAGAAATTAGTGGTAGTGCACTTTTCCGTAGCAGAACTCTAAAACCGTTCAATGTTTCTTCACCAAACTTGGCACATACATAGATCTGGTGGTGTACTGGTGCCTTTTGGTAGTTTTGGATTTCTGAATAAAATATTTTTGGCATTTCCATGGCAACAAGTTTGACATAGACTGAAATTGGTGATAGTGCTCCTTTCTGGAGCAGAACTTTAAAAACCTTTCAATACTCTCCTTCCACTTTTCTATATACACACCTAAATATTTGACACAATCATAACTCGTAGACATAATCATGAAGAGTATTTTGCCATTGCGGGGGATATTGATGACTTTGTCTTCTTGTTTCTTTTGTGTTAAGTTTGAAGTGTGATGTCCCTAATAACTTTCTTCTGTATCTGTTAAATGTTTTATGTTCAGGGCACGCAACTGTACGATGCGAAGCGAGGCTCCTTCGTGGACCTGGGCATCCTTGACGTGATGCAGATATTCGGTCGTGCTGGTCGGCCCCAGTTTGACAAGTTTGGTCATGGCACAATCATCACAACCCACGACAAGCTGAGCCACTATCTCTCCCTGATGACAAGACAGAATCCAATTGAGAGCCAGTTCATCAACAGCCTCACAGACAATCTGAATGCTGAGGTAAGGTTTTCACTCTAGTTCGTCAACAGCCTCACAGACAATCTGAATGCTGAGGTTAGGTTTTCACTCTAGTTCGTCAACAGCCTCACAGACAATCTGAATGCTGAGGTAAGGTTTTCACTCTAGTTCGTCAACAGCCTCACAGACAATCTGAATGCTGAGGTAAGGTTTTTCACTCTAGTTCGCCTACAGCCCTCACAGACAATCTGAATGCTGAGGTAAGGTTTTCACTCTAGTTCGCCAACAGCCTCACAGACAATCTGAATGCTGAGGTAAGGTTTTCACTTTAGTTCGTCAACAACAGCCTCACAGATAATCTGAATGCTGAGGTAAGGTTTTCACTCTAGTTCAGCCAACAGCCTCACAGATAATCTGAATGCTGAGGTAAGGTTTTCACTCTAGTTCGTCTAACAGCCTCACAGACAATCTGAATGCTGAGGTAAGGTTTTCACTCTAGTTCGTCAACAGCCTCACAGATAATCTGAATGCTGAGGTAAGGTTTTCACTCTAGTTCGTCAACAGCCTCACAGATAATCTGAATGCTGAGGTAAGGTTTTCACTCTAGTTCGTCTACAGCCTCACAGACAATCTGAATGCTGAGGTAAGGTTTTCACTCTAGTTCGTCTACAGCCTCACAGATAATCTGAATGCTGAGGTAAGGTTTTCACTCTAGTTCGTCTACAGCCTCACAGATAATCTGAATGCTGAGGTAAGGTTTTCACTCTAGTTCGTCTACAGCCTCACAGATAATCTGAATGCTGAGGTAAGGTTTTCACTCTAGTTCGTCAACAGCCTCACAGATAATCTGAATGCTGAGGTAAGGTTTTCACTTTAGTTCGTTTTACAGCCTCACAGATAATCTGAATGCTGAGGTAAGGTTTTCACTCTAGTTCGTCAACAGCCTCACAGATAATCTGAATGCTGAGGTAAGGTTTTCACTCTAGTTCGTCCACAGCCTCACAGAGAATGTCAGTGATGAGGTGAGGTTTTCACTCCAGGTCATCAAAAGATAGGGCGTTGGGGTAGCCTAGTGGTTAAGGCGTTTGTTTATCATGCCGAGGACCCGCTTCGATTCCCCATATGGGTACAATGTGTGAAGCCCATTTCTGGTGTCCCCGACCATGATATTGCTGGAACATTGCTAAAAGCGGCGTAAAACTAAACTCACTCACTCACTCACTCATCAAAAGATATGCCGCCATATAGCTGGAATATTGCTGAGTGCAGCGTAAAACTAAACTCACTCACTACAAGTCATGTTACAACCTGTATCATCTTTGTTATTGACCTGACCCCTCTCATTTGAATATGGTTTATTTGGATTTTCCTGCTTTTGATTCATGGAAGTGCTGAAGTTAAGTTTGTGAAGACATGAAAAAATATCCCCCTGTACCCTGAATTCTTAGTCCCAGAACTTAATGTTACAATGTCAATGTCCTGGCATTGATTTGGTAATACATTCTAGACCAGTGGTTGACACTGGCTTCATCAGTTTGGTAAGAGCGTGCGTTAGAGTTTTCTCTGACTTGGTAATACATTCTAGACCAGTGGTTGACACTGGCTTCATCAGTTTGGTAAGAGTCTGCGTTAGAGTTTTCTCTGACTTGGTAATACATTCTAGACCAGTGGTTGACACTGGCTTCATCAGTTTGGTAAGAGCGTGTGTTAGAGTTTTCTCTGACTTGGTAATACATTCTAGGCCAGTGGTTGACACTGGCTTCATCAGTTTGGTAAGAGCGTGCGTTAGAGTTTTCTCTGACTTGGTAATACATTCTAGGCCAGTGGTTGACACTGGCTTCATCAGTTTAGTAAGGCGTGCGTTAGAGTTTTCTCTGACTTGGTAATACATTCTAGACCAGTGGTTGACACTGGCTTCATCAGTTTGGTAAGAGCGTGCGTTAGAGTTTTCTCTGACTTGGTAATACATTCTAGACCAGTGGTTGACACTGGCTTCATCAGTTTGGTAAGAGCGTGTTAGAGTTTTCTCTGACTTGGTAATACATTCTAGGCCAGTGGTTGACACTGGCTTCATCAGTTTGGTAAGAGCGCGTTAGAGTTTTCTCTGACTTGGTAATACATTCTAGGCCAGTGGTTGACACTGGCTTCATCAGTTTGGTAAGAGCGTGCGTTAGAGTTTTCTCTGACTGTATTTCAGGTTGCACTCGGTACAGTAACCAACATGGAGGAGGCCGTCAAGTGGCTCAGCTACACATACCTGTACGTCCGGATGAGGATCAACCCTCTGGCTTACGGCATCCCCTACGGTGTTGTCCAGGTACTCGTACACTTCAGTGCTTAGTCTGACAACTGATGCTTGTTTTGAGTCGTGTGAAACCATGGCTGCAGATGAGGCCACCTAGGGTGTTGGGGCGGGTCTAACCCCGAGCTCTAACGTCTGCTCTCAGAGTTCTTATCTAGTTCAATCTATGACAGGCATTTTGGCTAGTTTTATTCCTGAACTGCCTTTTATTGATGTATCAGTGCCTAATTCCACTGTATTACTGTCTACTCAAAGAATTGGGGGGCTCATAAAGGGAGATAACTCTGCAGTGCTCATGTTCCCTACCTGAAGAGAGCACTGCATTAAATTAATGGAGAGCAGCAATAGACCTGTTAGTGTGATTTATTCAGCTGTAGAATAAGCTGTTATGGTCCCTGAATCCTCAGGACTGCAGCAAGGACTGACAACCTAAACAATTATTTTGGAGTTATTGTGTATTTTAGGCAAAATGGGGACCACAATAGTAGTATATGATTTGTCATTAAACATAATTATGTGCAACCTAGACTGTTTTTGTGTGCACTGATCAGAGCTGGATGTTCACAGTATCTGCAGTTTATCTGGGACAGGTGGGGCAGGTGATGAGAACATTGATCATAAAATGAGATGGTTCCTTATCAGGAGTAACGTATCTGTACAAAGATTCACCAGGTGGGAACCACTTTTTGATCTGCCCCTTACATTGGTTAACCTGATGTTCTAAATCAGTTCCGAGTGGTGAGTGTTCATGAAACTTGTCGGCAAATTTGTTAGCACTTTGTAAAAAATGTAGGGATTCTCTACCGTGGAACAGGAAATGAAAGTGAAAATTTGCAAACTCTAATAATGACGTCATATGTACTGTCTTCGAGACTCCAGTGAGTGAAAATACCTTTCAAAACTTAGCTTGCCAAAGTGACTTTAAATTTTAACTCACTCACTCACTCAAAACTTAGCTTATGTAAGAGTGACATTATGGGATTATTACACTTGTGTATTTTCATATCACACAGTTTACACATTCAAAACTGTATCCCTTATTATAGATATAAGTTATATCATATATTTGTAAGTAGTCCTTAGAGAATATTGTGTTATCACCAGGATGACCCAAGCTTGGAGGTCCACCGGCGCGACCTCATCACAGAAGCAGGACGCAAGCTGGACAAAGCCATGATGGTCAGATTTGATGAGAGGACGTCCTACTTCTCCTCCACTGACCTGGGTCGCATTGCCAGCCATTTCTACATCAAGTACGACACAATGGAGGTGAGATATACACTGACCTGGGTCGCATTGCCAGCCACTTCTACATCAAGTAGGCCACTCACCTGTGAGGTTGTGGGATGGATGAGGTGTCCAGTGCTACATGTTATAACTGCACTGATGATGGAGGTATGTTGTGGTACTCCAATGATGTACGTTGCCGAGGTTGTAGCCTGCATGGTACAAACATTGGTCAGGTTCTTATGGAGCTGTTTCTCAACACTGAGGGACGGTATGGTAGTCTAGTCAGTCAGTCAGTCTCAACACTGATGTGGTATCCACCTTCAGTGTGTCAGAAAGCTATATCCTGCTTGATGACTGCTGTTACGGTTAATAAATTGCCGTCTAAAAAGTCTAAAATATTCAATAATATATTGAGCAAACAATGAGCAAGCTACAATGAATCACAATACAGATTTCTAGTACAATGCAATTGAGTCACAAATCTAAAGTTTTGAGTCACAAATATAAAATATCAACTCACCACGAGCCTTGATCATTACAGTGAGATCAGATATTCTAAATGAAGCTTGTTTACAAATGAGAGCAGTTGTCAGGCACGTAGTGTCAGGATCAGATGATGGTGATGGTGACGAAGGACGACAATGGTAGGCAACTCCAGTGATATCAAAAGTCCTGTGTAATTCCGTGTGTCAGTCCTTGTGTCGCACCACACAACAGCCAGCCTGATATATACTGATACAGATTCTCGAACTTTCGGGGAAAGCATGGCTGTATCATTAACCACATAGATCTTTCTCGATATCGCTGGGAGACTCCACAACATGACGATGTCAACACATAAACATCCAGTCAAGGGAGGTAACTCTTGAGCGCCATCCCAAAAGGCGTGCCGCTAAAAATACCATTGGGATTGAACATATATGACGCGAAATGTGACCCACAACCAACACCCAAAACTTTAAACATTGTGACTCATAATTATTATCACCTAACCAATGTTACGAAAAACACACTCTCATAACACAGTTTTGAACATTTTTTGCTTTTTACACAGTCATGTTGGAAATGTTTTGAAATAATGCTTCATGTGAACTGACACAATGTATTTAGGGTTTGTGTTGCTGTGTGAGCCTACAGAAGCAGCATGGTGAAACTGGTAGGTCTTATCTATCAAATATGTACTGTTTGCAGACAATCAACGAGTTCTTCAAACCTCACATGGCAGAACCAGAGGTGTTTAACATATTGGCCAAGTCCCAGGAGTTTGAACAAATCAAGGTCAGTCTTCATTAATGCCTTTTCAGGTGAAAGATTGATAACATGTATATATGAGGAAGTGGCCTGAAACTGCAGTACAACTCTTGTCATGAGTCTTGTCAGTGATGTCAGTGAACCTGGGTGATCAGTACAGTGATGTCAGTGAACCTGGGTGATCTGTACAGTGATGTCAGTGAACCTGGGTGATCTGTACAGTGATGTCAGTGAACCTGGGTGGTCTGTACAGTGATGTCAGTGAACCTGGGTGGTCTGTACAGTAATGTCAGTGAACCTGGGTGATCTGTACAGTGATGTCAGTGAACCTGGGTGATCTGTACAGTGATGTCAGTGAACCTGGGTGATCTGTACAGTGATGTCAGTGAACCTGGGTGATCTGTACAGTGATGTCAGTGAACCTGGATGATCTGTACAGTGATGTCAGTGAACCTGGGTGATCTGTACAGTGATGTCAGTGAACCTGGGTGGTCTGTACAGTGATGTCAGTGAACCTGGGTGATCTGTACAGTGATGTCAGTGAACCTGGATCTGTGATCTGTACAGTAATGTCAGTGAACCTGGGTGATCTTTACAGTGATGTCAGTGAACCTGGGTGATCTGTACAGTGATGTCAGTGAACCTGGGTGATCTGTACAGTGATGTCAGTGAACCTGGGTGGTCTGTACAGTGATGTCAGTGAACCTGGGTGATCTGTACAGTGATGTCAGTGAACCTGGGTGATCTGTACAGTGATGTCAGTGAACCTGGGTGATCTGTACAGTGATGTCAGTGAACCTGGGTGATCTGTACAGTGATGTCAGTGAACCTGGATGATCTGTACAGTGCTGGAAGTCACATTCTGGCTTATATTCATCTCCTTTCTAGTATTATTTGTTATTTTCCCGACATTTATTTTAAAGAAGAAATCTTCTTTTTAGAATTTCTGTGTGTTCTTATTTCAACTACTGAAAAGAAAATACCTTATGTAAGTATGTACAAGGTGGCATGACAGTGTTTAATGGGATGTTTGTGTGGCAGGTCCGTGAGGATGAGATGGATGAGCTGGACAACCTGATGTTCGATGCCTGTGAGATGCCAGTGGCAGGGGGGAAAGAAAATCCCAACGGGAAAGTCAACATCTTGCTACAGACATACGTCTCCAGGCACGGACTGGAGTCTTTCTCTCATCTCTGACATGTCATATGTTGCTCAGGTGAGTCGTCAATCATCAGGTGAGTCATCAATCATCAGGTGGGTCGTCAATCATCAGGTGGGTCATCAATAATCAGGTGAGTCATCAATCATCAGGTGGGTCATCAATCAGGTGGGTCATCAATAATCAGATGAGTCATCATGCATCAGGTGAGATGTCATTTATCAGGTGGGTCATCAATCATCAGGTGGGTTATCAATAATCAGGTGAGTCATCAATCATCAGGTGGGTCATCAATCATCAGGTGGGTCATCATTTATCAGGTGGGTCATCAATAATCAGGTGGGTCATCAATCATCAGATTTGATATCATTTATCAAATGGGGCATCAATTATCAGATGGGGCATCAATCATCAGGTGGGGCATCAATCATCAGATGAGTCATCATGCATCAGGTGAGATGTCATTTATCAGGTGGGTCATCAATCATCAGGTGGGTTATCAATAATCAGGTGAGTCATCAATCATCAGGTAGGTCATCAATAATCAGGTGGGTCATCATTTATCAGGTGGGTCATCAATAATCAGGTGGGTCATCAATCATCAGATTTGATATCATTTATCAAATGGGGCATCAATTATCAGGTGGGGCATCAATCATCAGTTGGGCATCAATCATCAGGTGGGGCATCAATCATTAGGTGGGGCATCATTATCAGATGGGGCATTAATCAGGTGGGCTGTCATAGGGTATCAATCATCAGGTGGGATATCATTGATTTGGTGGGGCATCAGATCATTATCAGATGGGGCATTAATTATCAGGTGGGCTATCATAGGGTATCAATCATCAGGTGGGATATCATTGATTCGGTGGGGCATCAATCATCAGGTGGGGCATCAATCGGTTCACTTACAGAATACCGGATACCTACCAGCCATGTTGTTTAGTGTCACATCACCCTAACCCTAACCCTAAACCTTACCCTAAACCCTTACCCTAAACCTTACCCTAACCCTAAACCTTACCCTAACCCTAATCCTAACCAAAAGTAAACTCGCGCGCTTTTAAAAATGACGGAAGGTATCCGGTATTCTGTAATCTTACCCATCAATCATCAGATGGGATATCATTGATTCGGTGGGGCATCAATCATCAGGTGGGTCATTAATCATCAGATTGGATATCAATAATCAGGTGGGTCATCAATCATCAGATTGGATATCATTTATCAAATGGGGCATCAATTATCAGATGGGGCATCAGTCATCAGGTGGGGCATCAATCATCAGGTGGGGCATCAATCATCAGGTGGGGCATCAATCATCAGATGGGCAATCAATTGGGCATCAATTATCAGGTGGGGCATCAATCATCAGGTGGGGCATCAATCATCAGGTGGGGCATCAATCATCAGGTGGGGCATCAATCATCAGGTGGGGCATCAATCATCAGGTGGGGCATCAATCATCAGGTGGGGCATCAATCATCAGGTGGGCAATCAATTGATCATTGATCTGGGGCATCATCATCAGGTGGGGCATCAGGTGGGGCATCAATCATCAGGTGGGGCATCAATCATCAGGTGGGGCATCATTTATCAGGTGGAGCATCATTTATCAGGTGGGGATCATTCATCAGGTGGGCTATCATTTATCAGGTGGGCTATCATTTATCAGGTGGGGCATCATTCATCAGGTGGGGCATCATTTATCAGGTGGGGCATCATTCATCAGGTGGGCATCATTTATCAGGTGGGCATCATTTATCAGGTGGGGCATCATCATTCATCAGGTGGGCTATCATTTATCAGGTGGGCTATCATTTATCAGGGTGGGCTATCATTTATCAGGTGGGGCATCATTTATCAGGTGGGCTATCATTTATCAGGTGGGCATCATTCATCAGGTGGGCATCATTTATCAGGTGGGCATCATCATTTATCAGGTGGGGCATCATTTATCAGGTGGGCTATCATTCATCAGGTGGGCTATCATTCATCATCAGGTGGGGGGCATCAATCATCAGGTGGGGTCATCATTTATCAGGTGGGCATCATTTATCAGGTGGGCTATCATTTATCAGGTGGGCTATCATTTATCAGGTGGGGCATCATTTATCAGGTGGGCTATCATTTATCAGGTGGGGCATCATTTATCAGGTGGGCATCATTCATCAGGTGGGGCATCATTTTATCAGGTGGGCTATCATTTATCAGGTGGGCTATCATTTATCAGGTGGGGCATCATTTATCAGGTGGGGCATCATTTATCAGGTGGGGCATCATTCATCAGGTGGGCTATCATTTATCAGGTGGGCTATCATTTATCAGGTGGGCTATCATTTATCAGGTGGGCTATCATTTATCAGGTGGGCTATCATTTATCAGGTGGGGCATCATTTATCAGGTGGGCTATCATTTATCAGGTGGGCATCATTCATCAGGTGGGCTATCATTTATCAGGTGGAGCATCATTCATCAGGTGGGCTATCATTTATCAGGTGGGGCATCATTTATCAGGTGGGGCATCATTCATCAGGTGGGCTATCATTTATCAGGTGGGCATCATTCATCAGGTGGGCTATCATTTATCAGGTGGAGCATCAATCATCAGGTGGGCTATCATTTATCAGGTGGGGCATCAATCATCATCAGGTGGGCTATCATTTATCAGGTGGGGCATCAATCATCAGGTGGGGCATCATTTATCAGGTGGGGCATCATTTATCAGGTGGGGCATCATTCATCAGGTGGGCTATCATTTATCAGGTGGGCTATCATTTATCAGGTGGGCTATCATTTATCAGGTGGGGCATCATTCATCAGGTGGGCTATCATTTATCAGGTGGGGCATCAATCATCAGGTGGGGCATCATTTATCAGGTGGGGCATCATTCATCAGGTGGGGCATCAATAATCAGGTGGGGCTATCATTTATCAGGTGGGGCATCAATTATCAGGTGGGGCATCATTTATCAGGGTGGGCTATCATTTATCAGGTGGGCTATCATTTATCAGGTGGGGCATCATTCATCAGGTGGGCATCATTTATCAGGTGGGGCATCATTCATCAGGTGGGCTATCATTTATCAGGTGGGGCATCATTTATCAGGTGGGCTATCATTTATCAGGTGGGGCATCATTCATCAGGTGGGCTATCATTTATCAGGTGGGGCATCAATCATCAGGTGGGCTATCATTTATCAGGTGGGGCATCAATAATCAGATGGGGCATCATGCATCAGGTGAGATGTCATTTATCAGGTGGGGCATCAATCATCAGGTGGGGCATCATTCATCAGGTGGGCTATCATTTATCAGGTGGAGCATCAATCATCAGGTGGGGGATCATTCATCAGGTGGGCTATCATTTATCAGGTGGGGCATCATTCATCAGGTGGGCTATCATTTATCAGGTGGAGCATCAATCATCAGGTGGGGATCATTCATCAGGTGGGCTATCATTTATCAGGTGGGGCATCATTCATCAGGTGGGCTATCATTTATCAGGTGGGGGATCATTCATCAGGTGGGCTATCATTTATCAGGTGGAGCATCAATCATCAGGTGGGCTATCATTTATCAGGTGGGGCATCAATAATCAGATGGGTCATCAATAATCAGGTGGGGCATCAATCATCAGGTGGGCTATCATGTATCAGGTGAGTCATCAATCATCAGATGGGATATCATTGATTCGGTGGGGCATCAATCATCAGGTGGGGCATCATTTATCAGGTGGGTCATCAATCATCAGGTGGGCTATCATGTATCAGGTGAGTCATCAATCATCAGGTGGGATATCATTGATTCGGTGGGGCATCAATCATCAGGTGGGATATCATTGATTCGGTGGGGCATCAATCATCAGGTGGGACATCATTTATCAGGTGGGGCATCAATCATCAGGTGGGGTATCAATCATCAGATGGGATATCATTGATTCAGTGGGACATCAATCATCAGGTGTGGCATCATTTATCAGGTGGGGCATCAATCATCAGGTGGGGTATCAATCATCAGGTGGGGCATCAATTATCAGATGGGGTATCATTTATCAGGTGGGGCATCAATCATCAGGTGGGGCATCAATCATCAGGTGGGGCATCATTTATCAGGTGGGGCATCAATCATCAGGTGGGGCATCAATCATCAGGTGGGGCATCAATCATCAGGTGGGGCATCAATCATCAGGTGGGGCATCAATCATCAGATTGGGCATCATTTATCTGGTGGGGCATCAGTGGTGAGGTAGATCTAGGTATATTTTGTATGTTATGATTGCCAGGGCATCGATCGATGTATGTACATATACTGCTGACAAATAGTACAGGAACTGATGAAATATTAATGTAGGTGAAACAACACTTAATATCATGCGTATTGACCAGTATCATAATAATAATATCATTTGTTGTGTCCAGTACGCTGGGCAATACATGTGTAACACCTCATGACAAACTGTTGGTTAACTTGCTTATGACTTGACATTGCCAACCAGTCCACCAAGTTGGTCCACAGTGGATCCCTAGAGTACACTCTGGTTGAGAACATTTTCAGATGCTCCCTTGTGTCCATGTCCGAAGACCCATCCAATGTCTGTAGGGCCTCCTGCTGGAGATGATGGCAACCTGGACATGATGTCTGTAGGGCCTCCTGATGGAGATGGTGGCAGCCTGGACATGATGTCTGTAGGGCCTCCTGATGGAGATGATGGCAACCTGGACATGATGTCTGTAGGGCCTCCTGCTGGAGATGATGGCAGCCTGGACATGATGTCTGTAGGGCCTCCTGCTGGAGATGGTGGCAGCCTGGACATGATGTCTGTAGGGCCTGGCAACCTGGAGATGATGGCAACCTGGACATGATGTCTGTAGGGCCTCCTGCTGATGGAGATGATGGCAACCTGGACATGATGTCTGTAGGGCCTCCTGCTGGAGATGGAGATGATGGCAACCTGGACATGATGTCTGTAGGGCCTCCTGTGGAGATGATGGCAACTGGACATGATGTCTGTAGCCTCCTGGAGATGATGGCAACCTGGACATGATGTCTGTAGGGCCTCCTGTGGAGGGGCAGCCTGACATGATGTCTGTAGGGCCTCCTGCTGGAGATGATGGCAGCCTGACATGATGTCTGTAGGGCCTCCTGCTGGAGATGATGGCAACCTGGACATGATGTCTGTAGGGCCTGCTGGAGATGATGGCAACCTGGACATGATGTCTGTAGGGCCTCCTGATGGAGATGATGGCAACCTGGACATGATGTCTGTAGGGCCTCCTGCTGGAGATGATGGCAACCTGGACATGATGTCTGTAGGGCCTCCTGCTGGAGATGATGGCAACCTGGACATGATGTCTGTAGGGCCTCCTGATGGAGATGATGGCAACCTGGACATGATGTCTGTAGGGCCTCCTGATGGAGATGATGGCAACCTGGACATGATGTCTGTAGGGCCTCCTGCTGAGATGATGGCAACCTGGACATGATGTCTGTAGGGCCTCCTGCTGGAGATGGACATGGCAGCCTGGACATGATGTCTGTAGGGCCTCCTGATGGAGATGATGGCAACCTGGACATGATGTCTGTCTGTAGGGCCTCCTGGACATGATGTCTGTAGGGCCTCCTGAGGGCCTGGACCTGTAGGACTGCTGGAGATGATGGCAACCTGGACATGATGTCTGTAGGGCCTCCTGATGGAGATGATGGCAGCCTGGACATGATGTCTGTAGGGCCTCCTGCTGGAGATGATGGCAGCCTGGACATGATGTCTGTAGGGCCTCCTGATGGAGATGATGGCAACCTGGACATGATGTCAGTAGGGCCTCCTGATGGAGATGATGGCAGCCTTGACATGATGTCTGTAGGGCCTCCTGATGGAGATGATGGCAACCTGGACATGATGGGGCTGGGCATATCCATGTTACAGAATTCAGCCAAGAAATGTAACAACTCAAATAAACAAACACTTGTGAAGGTATCACTGACCAGTGAGATATCCATTCACACCAGTTTGGTTGATACCAGCCCACACTGGGACACTACTGGGACACCCTGACACTACTGGGACACCACTCTGACACCACTCTGACACTACTGTGACACCCTGACACTACTGTGACACCACTGTGACACTAATGTGATACCCTGACACCACTGTGACACTACTGTGACACCCTCACACCACTGTGACACTAATGTGATACCAGTGTGACACCCTGACACCACTGTTACACCCTGACACTACTTTGACACCAGCGTGACACCCTGACACCAGTGTGACACCCTGACACTACTGTGACACCCTGACACCACTGTGACACTACTGTGACACCCTGACAATACTGTGACACCCTGACACTACTGTGACACCCTGACAATACTGTGACAACAGTGTGACACCCTGACACTAGTTTGACACCATTGTGACACTACTTATACTACTGGGACACCACTGGGACACTAATGTGACACCATTGTGACACTAATGTGATACCACTGACACTAATGTGACACCACTGTGACACCCTGACACTACTCTGACACCACTGGGACACCACTGTGACACCCTGTCACCACTGGGACACCCTGACACTACTGTGACACCACTTTGACACCCTCACACCACTGTGACACTACTGTGACACCCTGACACCACTGTGACACCCTGACAGTACTGTGACACCCTGACACCAGTGTGACACCATTGTGACACTACTTATACTACTGGGACACCACTGTGACACTAATGTGACACCCTGACACCACTGTGACACCATTGTGACACTACTTATACTACTTGGACACCACTGTGACACCAATGTGACACCACTGTGACACCCTGACACTACTGTGACACTTCTGTGCCCTTACTGATTGACCATTGTCAGGGGGTGGTGCCCTGACATGCTCCACACCACATCTTCTACATCATTTTCTGCCATGTACAGATTGGAGGCAAAACTTCAGTTCATCTGTGAACATACTGTCAAGGTTATCTTTTGCTGATTTGTTATATCTGATTGGCAATCAGGGTAGCATTAAGATTAGGACATGGACTGAACTGAATGATTGTTGCATGATATGTGTATATAGACAGAAGCTTCAACTTGCCTGTTGTTCCATGTTGAAGTGTTTGATCCTCCACAGAATGCCTCCAGGATCATGCGAGCTCTGTTTGAGATGGCGCTGAAGAAGGGTTGGCCAGTGATGGCAGGTCGGCTGTTGGCACTCAGCAAGGTGGTGGACAAGAGGCTGTGGGCACACGAACACCCACTGCGACAGTTCCCCATTCTCTCCCAGGAAATCCTCAACAAGATTGAAGCCAGGAACCTTTACATAGACCGACTGAAAGACATGGATGCCAAGGAAATAGGTAGGGCTGTCATCTTAGCTGGTTCATAAGATCAGAAACCTTTGCACCTAGAGAGTGACATGGTTGCCAGGGAAATGGGTAGGGCTGTCATCTTAGCTGGTTCATAAGATCAGAAACCTTTGCACCTAGAGATGGACATAGTTGCCAGGGAAATAGGTAGGGCTGTCATCTTAGCTGGTTCATAAAATCAGAAACCTTTGCACCTAGAGAGAGACATGGTTGCCAGGGAAATAGGTAGGGCTGTCATCTTAGCTGGTTCATAAGATCAGAAACCTTTGCACCTAGGGAGAGTCATGGTTGCCAGGGAAATGGGTAGGGCTGTCAGGAAGCTGTTTCAGGATGTTCTGTAGTAATAATGAGAGATTCAGCAGGGTTACTGTATTAATGCTTTGGTACTCAATTTAGGAGTTACCTCCTTGGTAAAAAAAGCGCATTGCTCTTGTTGCAATAATGTTGCTGAAACAAAAGCTAAGCTGGTCCTATTCATTCTGCATCACTGTAGGAATACTGTTGTAAAGGTTTGTGATGGTTCTGTTACCTAGGCCACATAGTCCACCACGTCAGGATGGGGGCCATCATCAAGAGATGTGTCAACCAGATTCCTGCACTCATTCTGGACGCAAGCATACAACCAATCACCCGCACTGTTCTCAGAGTGAGGCTCACCATCACTGCTGACTTCAGCTGGGATGATAAGGTGAGAGACATACCATCAGATAATACAGCCATAGTGTTGCCTTGAGTTAGCTGAGTGAGAGAGGTGAGAGAGATACCATCAGATAATACAGCCATAGTGTGGCCTTGAGTCAGCTGAGTGAGAGAGGTGAGAGAGATACCATCAGATAATACAGCCATAGTGTTGCCTTGAGTCAGTTGAGTGAGTGAGGTGAGAGAGATACCATCAGATAATACAGCCATAGTGTGGCCTTGAGTCAGTTGAGTGAGTGAGGTGAGAGAGACACCATCAGATAATACAGCCATCGTGTGGCCTTGAGTCAGTTGAGTGAGTGAGGTGAGAGAGATACCATCAGATAATACAGCCATAGTGTTGCCTTGAGTCAGTTGAGTGAGTGAGGTGAGAGAGACAGCACCAGATAATACAGCCATAGTGTTGCCTTGAGTTAGCTGAGTGAGTGAGGTGAGAGAGATACCATCAGATAATACAGCCATAGTGTTGCCTTGAGTCAGCTGAGTGAGAGAGGTGAGAGAGATACCATCAGATAATACAGCCATAGTGTTGCCTTGAGTCAGTTGAGCGAGTGAGGTGAGAGAGATACCATCAGATAATACAGCTATCGTGTGGCCTTGAGTCAGCTGAGTGAATGAGGTGAGAGAGATACCATCAGATAATACAGCCATAGTGTTACCTTGAGTCAGCTGAGTGAGTGAGGTGAGAGAGACACCATCAGATAATACAGCCATAGTGTTGCCTTGAGTCAGCTGAGTGAGTGAGGTGAGAGAGATACCATCAGATAATACTGCCATAGTGTTACCTTGAGTCAGTTGAGTGAGTGAGGTGAGAGAGATACCATCAGATAATACAGCCATAGTGTTGCCTTGAGTCAGTTGAGTGAGAGAGGTGAGAGAGATACCATCAGATAATACAGCCATAGTGTGGCCTTGAGTCAGCTCAGGAGCTGAGGAAGAGAGAGGTGAGAGAGATACCATCAGATAATACAGCCATAGTGTTGCCTTGAGTCAGCTGGTGGTGAGGTGAGAGAGAGATACCATCAGATAATACTGCCATAGTGTGGCCTTGAGTCAGTTGAGTGAGTGAGGTGAGAGAGATACCATCAGATAATACTGCCATAGTGTGGCCTTGAGTCAGTTGAGTGAGTGAGGTGAGAGAGACACCATCAGATAATACAGCTATCGTGTGGCCTTGAGTCAGCTGAGTGAGTGAGGTGAGAGAGATACCATCAGATAATACAGCCATAGTGTTGCCTTGAGTCAGTTCAGTGAGAGAGGTGAGAGAGATACCATCAGATAATACAGCCATAGTGTTGCCTTGAGTCAGCTGAGTGAGAGAGGTGAGAGAGATACCATCAGATAATACAGCCATAGTGTTGCCTTGAGTCAGCTGAGTGAGTGAGGTGAGAGAGATACCATCAGATAATACAGCCATAGTGTTGCCTTGAGTCAGCTGAGTGAGAGAGGTGAGAGAGATACCATCAGATAATACAGCCATAGTGTTGCCTTGAGTCAGCTGAGTGAGTGAGGTGAGAGAGAGATACCATCAGATAATACAGCCATAGTGTTGCCTTGAGTCAGCTGAGTGAGAGGAGGTGAGAGAGATACCATCAGATAATACAGCCATAGTGTTGCCTTGAGTCAGCTGAGTGAGAGAGGTGAGAGAGATACCATCAGATAATACAGCCATAGTGTTGCCTTGAGTCAGCTGAGTGAGAGAGGTGAGAGAGATACCATCAGATAATACAGCCATAGTGTTGCCTTGAGTCAGCTGAGTGAGTGAAGTGAGAGAGATACCATCAGATAATACAGCCATAGTGTTGCCTTGAGTCAGCTGGAGTGAGGGGAGGTGAGAGAGAGCCATACCATCAGATAATACAGCCATAGTGTTGCCTTGAGTCAGTTGAGTGAGTGAGGTGAGAGAGACACCATCAGATAATACAGCCATAGTGTTGCCTTGAGTCAGCTGAGTGAGTGAGGTGAGAGAGATACCATCAGATAATACAGCCATAGTGTTGCCTTGAGTTAGCTGAGTGAGTGAGGTGAGAGAGATACCATCAGATAATACAGCCATAGTGTTGCCTTGAGTCAGCTGAGTGAGAGGTGAGAGAGATACCATCAGATAATACAGCCATAGTGTGGCCTTGAGTCAGTTGAGCGAGTGAGGTGAGAGAGACACCATCAGATAATACAGCCATAGTGTTGCCTTGAGTCAGTTGAGTGAGAGAGGTGAGAGAGATACCATCAGATAATACAGCCATAGTGTTACCTTGAGTCAGTTGAGTGAGTGAGGTGAGAGAGACAGCATCAGATAATACAGCCATAGTGTGGCCTTGAGTCAGCTGAGTGAGAGAGATACCATCAGATAATACAGCCATAGTGTGGCCTTGAGTCAGCTGAGTGAGTGAGGTGAGAGAGATACCATCAGATAATACAGCCGTAGTGTGGCCTTGAGTCCGCTGAGTGAGTGAGGTGAGAGAGACACCATCAGATAATACAGCCATAGTGTGGCCTTGAGTCAGCTGAGTGAGTGAGGTGAGAGAGATACCATCAGATAATACAGCCATAGTGTGGCCTTGAGTCAGCTGAGTGAGTGAGGTGAGAGAGATACCATCAGATAATACAGCCATAGTGTTGCCTTGAGTCAGTTGAGTGAGTGAGGTGAGAGAGACAGCATCAGATAATACAGCCATAGTGTGGCCTTGAGTCAGCTGAGTGAGAGAGATACCATCAGATAATACAGCCATAGTGTGGCCTTGAGTCAGCTGAGTGAGTGAGGTGAGAGAGATACCATCAGATAATACAGCCATAGTGTGGCCTTGAGTCAGCTGAGTGAGTGAGGTGAGAGAGACACCATCAGATAATACAGCCATAGTGTGGCCTTAGGTCAGCTGAGTGAGTGAGGTGAGAGAGACACCATCAGATAATACAGCCATAGTGTTGCCTTGAGTCAGCTGAGTGAGTGAGGTGAGAGAGATACCATCAGATAATACAGCCATAGTGTGGCCTTGAGTCAGCTGAGTGAGTGAGGTGAGAGAGATACCATCAGATAATACAGCCATAGTGTGGCCTTGAGTCAGCTGAGTGAGTGAGGTGAGAGAGATACCATCAGATAATACAGCCATAGTGTGGCCTAGAGTCAGCTGAGTGAGAGAGGTGAGAGAGATACCATCAGATAATACAGCCATAGTGTGGCCTTGAGTCAGCTGAGTGAGTGAGGTGAGAGAGACAGCATCAGATAATACAACCATAGTGTGGCCTTGAGTCAGCTGAGTGAGTGAGGTGAGAGAGACACCATCAGATAATACAGCCATAGTGTGGCCTTGAGTCAGCTGAGTGAGTGAGGTGAGAGAGACAGCATCAGATAATACAGCCATAGTGTGGCCTTGAGTCAGATGAGTGAGAGACAGGATCTGTCTCTGTGATGCATATGATTGGCCTTTCAACACTGTCCTTGTCAGTCTTTTAATTTATTTTTAGCTGATCAGCTCAAGTCAGATTTATTAATTTTATCATTACAGCATATATCTTGAGAACCATATATAATTTGTGGTATATTTAAACCCTGTGTAGAAGTAGTTCTCCATGATAATTGCTGTGTAGGTCCAGTAATTTTGCTGTGGCAAGATAGAACATGGTCAACAAGAACTTTGGCTGGTTGAGTCGACCATTTATAGACCGCTATCAGGATGCCAGGACAGAAAGTCATAGGTGCCCATATTCTTCATTCACCTTGGAATTGAAGCTTCCACGAATCCCTAGTGTCTGTAAAATTGACAGTTATTGCCATGACTACAGGCGTCATAGTGATGATGTGTTGAATTGACAACAGGTTCATGGCAGCTCAACGGAGCCATTCTGGGTGTGGGTGGAGGACCCTGACAATAACCACATCTACCATTCTGACTACTTCCTGCTCCACAAGAAACATGTAGGTGGCGCTACTGTGTTGCATTGTGGGATCAACAGTCACCCTGAAAAGAATATATGCCTTTGTAATAACACAAGAATTAATCTGTATTATAGGGGAAAGATGTATAAAACTGTATTGTAGGGGAAAGATGTATAAAACTGTATTATAGGGGAAAGATGTATAAAACTGTATGATAGGGGAAAGATGTATAAAACTGTATTGTAGGGGAAAGATGTATAAAACTATTGTAGGGGAAAGATGTATAAAACTGTATTGTAGGGGAAAGATGTATAAAACTGTATTGTAGGGGAAAGATGTATAAAACTGTATTGTAGGGGAAAGATGTATAAAACTGTATTGTAGGGGAAAGATGTATAAAACTGTATTATAGGGAAAGATGTATAAAACTGTATTGTAGGGGAAAGATGTATAAAACTGTATTGTAGGGGAAAAGATGTATAAAACTGTATTGTAGGGGAAAGATGTATAAAACTGTATTGTAGGGAAAGATGTATAAAACTGTATTGTAGGGGAAAGATGTATAAAACTGTATTGTAGGGGAAAGATGTATAAAACTGTATTGTAGGGGAAAGATGTATAAAACTGTATTGTAGGGGAAAGATGTATAAAACTGTATTGTAGGGGAAAGATGTATAAAACTGTATTGTAGGGGAAAGATGTATAAAACTGTATTGTAGGGGAAAGATGTATAAAACTGTATTGTAGGGGAAAGATGTATAAAACTGTATTGTAGGGGAAAGATGTATAAAACTGTATTGTAGGTTCAATATAAGTCAAGAGTTTAGACAGGGATGGGATCTGCAGTTAATGTGTGAAAAACTCTGTTTTTTATGAAGTAAAATTGATAAAAGTATAGTGTCTAGTTTCTTATTTGCACAAAGTAAGAGCTTAAGTTTTTATCTGAAAATGTCTTTTGTATATGGAACTTTGAAGCCTCTGTGTGTTACATATGCCAATATGATCATGAGACTATGATGTAATATATACAATGTGGATATACCTCTAGGTTGTGAAGGATGAACCCCAGAGCTTGGTGTTCACCATACCGATCTTCGAGCCGCTGCCAACCCAGTACTACATAAGGGCAGTGTCAGACCGGTGGCTCGGGTCAGAGGCTGTCTTTCCCATCTCCTTCCAACACCTCATCCTGCCGGAGAGACATCCTCCTCACACAGGTAACACACATCACTGATAGTACGCCCCACAAACAGGTAGCAGTCGACACTAATAGTACTCCCAACAAACAGGTAGCAGTCAACACTAATAGTACTCCCCACAAACAGGTAGCAGTCCACACTAATAGGACTCCCCACAAACAGGTAGCAGTCGACACTAATAGTACTCCACACAAACAGGTAGCAGTTGACACTAATAGTACTCCCCACAAACAGGTAGCAGACGTCACTAATAGTACTCCCCACAAACAGGTAGCAGACGTCACTAACAGTACTCCCAACAAACAGGTAGCAGTTGACACTAATAGTACTCCACACAAACAGGTAGCAGACGTCACTAACAGTACTCCCAACAAACAGGTAGCAGTCGACACTAACAGTACTCCACACAAACAGGTAGCAGTTGACACTAATAGTACTCCACACAAACAGGTAGGTAGCAGTCCAGATCGTCACTAATAGTACTCCCCACAAACAGGTAGCAGTTGACACTAACAGTACTCCACACAAACAGGTAGCAGACATCACTAACAGTACAACAAACAGGTAGCAGTCGACACTAATAGTACTCCCACACAAACAGGTAGCAGTCGTCACTAATAGTACTCCCCACAAACAACAGGTAGCACTCCCAACAAACAGGTAGCAGTCGACACTAATAGTACTCCCCACAAACAGGTAGCAGTCCACACTAATAGTACTCCCCACAAACAGGTAGCAGACGTCACTAACAGTACTCCCCACAAACAGGTAGCAGTTGACACTAATAGTACTCCCACAAACAGGTAGCAGACGTCACTAATAGTACTCCCCACAAACAGGTAGCAGTAGACACTCAGGCCCCACAAACAGGTAGCAGTTGACACTAATAGTACTCCCACAAACAGGTAGCAGTCGACACTACCCACAAACAGGTACTCTAATAGTACCCCCACAAACAGGTAGCAGTCGTCACTAATAGTACTCCCCACAAACAGGTAGCAGTTGACACTAATAGTACTCCCCACAAACAGGTAGCAGTCGTCACTAATAGTACTCCCCCACAAACAGGTAGCAGAGCAGTCACTAATGGTACTCCCCACAAACAGGTAGCAGTCGACACTCCCCACAAACAGGTAGCAGTTGACACTAATAGTACCCACACAAACAGGTAGCAGTACACTCCCAATAGTACTCCCACAAACAGGTAGCAGTCGACACTAATAGGACTCCCCACAAACAGGTAGGCAGTCTCACTAATAGTACTCCCCACAAACAGGTAGCAGTCGACACTAATAGTACTCCCACAAACAGGTAGCAGTCGCCACTAATAGTACTCCCACAAACAGGTAGCAGACGTCACTACACTAGGTACTCCCCACAAACAGGTAGCAGTCGACACTAATAGTACTCCCCACAAACAGGTAGCAGTCGACACTAATAGTACTCCCCACACAAACAGGTAGCAGTCGTCACTAATAGTACTCCCAACAAACAGGTAGCAGTCGACACTAATAGTACTCCCCACAAACAGGTAGCAGTCGACACTAATAGTACTCCCCACAAACAGGTAGCAGTTGACACTAATAGTACTCCACACAAACAGGTAGCAGTCGTCACTAATAGTACTCCCCACAAACAGGTAGCAGTTGACACTAATAGTACTCCCCACAAACAGGTAGCAGACGTCACTAATAGTACTCCCCACAAACAGGTAGCAGTCGTCACACTAATAGTACTCCCCACAAACAGGTAGCAGACGTCACTAATAGTACTCCCCACAAACAGGTAGCAGTCGACACTAATAGTACTCCCACAAACAGGTAGCAGTCGACACTAATAGTACTCCCCACAAACAGGTAGCAGTTGACACTAATAGTACTCCACACAAACAGGTAGCAGACGTCACTAATAGTACTCCCCACAAACAGGTAGCAGTCGACACTAATAGTACTCCCCACAAACAGGTAGCAGTCGACACTAATAGTACTCCCCACAAACAGGTAGCAGTCCACACTAATAGGACTCCCCACAAACAGGTAGCAGTCCACACTAATTAGTACTCCCCACAAACAGGTAGCAGTCGACACTAATAGTACTCCCCACAAACAGGTAGCAGTCCACACTAATAGTACTCCCCACAAACAGGTAGCAGTCCACACTAATAGGTAATAGTCTCCACAAACAGGTAGCAGTCCACACTAATGGTACTCCCCCACAAACAGGTAGCAGCGCATTGCACAGACTAATAGCAGTACTCCCACACAAACAGGTAGCAGATGTGACCAATAGTACTCCCCACACATAGCAGCTCACAGGTAGCAGACACATCACTGATAGTATCACCTTCCCTGGTAGCCAGTAGTAGGGGTGTCATTACTCCCACAAACAGGTAGCAGGCGTCACTAATAGTACTCCCCACAAACAGGTAGCAGTCCACACTATTAGTACTCCCCCACAAACAGGTAGCAGTCCACACTAATAGTACTCCCACTAAACAAACAGGATTCACACTAATAGTACTCCCCACAAACAGGCAGCACATCACTAATAATAATTCCCACAAACAGGTAGCAGTCGTACTCCCACTATGCAGTACATCCACATGTAGATTCAGATGACGCTTAGCAGTACTCCACATGTAGATGGCAGATGTAACCTATTGTACTGCCAGGAAGCACACATCACTGATAGTATCACCTTCACCGTAGCAGTCCAGCCAGTTAGTAGGGGTGTCATTGTTTACCTTATTGTACTGTATTTGTTTCCAGAGCTGCTCGACCTGCAGCCCCTGCCAGTGACAGCCCTGAAGAACCCCCAGTATGAAGCCCTGTATCGCTTCACTCACTTCAACCCCATCCAGACCCAGATATTCCACACAGTGTACCACAATGACTGCAACGTGTTGCTTGGGGCACCCACTGGTTCCGGGAAGACAGTTGCTGCTGAGTTGGCAATATTCCGGATATTCAACCAGTACCCCAAACATAAGGTGGGTATTTGTGTCATGGAGATAATTCATATTCTGTCACAAGCTTATGATACTAAAAAGCCTCAGTGTGTTATGATAAAACAATACAGCTTATCTACATCTTGGTCAGGATGCTCTAGAAGTCACTGCTGTCACAGACAAATGGTCATGTGGAGACCTGGATACCACTGTGTAATGTTTCTGTGTGATTCAGCCAAGTCAGCTGTGATTATTTTCTCCAAATTGACTGTAAGATATGTATGTTGTCAGGCAGTGTATATTGCTCCTCTGAAGGCTCTGGTCCGAGAGAGGATGGATGATTGGAAGGTCAGGATAGAGCAGAAGCTGGGCAAGAAGTAAGTACAGAGATGTGTGCGTATCTCTCTCTCTGTCTCTGTCTCTCTCTGTCTGTCTCTCTCTCTCTCTCTCTCTCTCTCTCTCTCTCTCTCTCTGTCTCTCTGTCTCTGTCTCTCTCTCCCTCTTCATTCTGTCTGTCTGTGTTTGTATATTCATCTGTCAGTTTCTTTGTGTGTGTGTGTGTCTCTGTGTGTGTCACTTGGGGATGATGGCATATCTTTATTTATGTATCTACTGCTTCAGTGTGTGTTATAGAAGATATATTATCTCCTGAACTGTTATCATAACAATCTCAGTAAGTGAAGATTTTAAGACTCTACATGTGACAAATAGTCCTGTCCAGAGTGCATGTGTTATTTGGTTCCTCCAGAGTGGTGGAGTTGACCGGAGATGTAACACCAGACATGCGAGCTGTGGCCAATGCTGACCTGATAGTGACAACACCGGAGAAATGGGATGGAGTGAGTCGGTCGTGGCAGACTCGGAGCTACGTCAAGTCTGTAGCCCTGCTGGTCATCGATGAAATCCACCTGCTTGGTGAGTCTTGTTTTTCATATCCACCTGCTTGGTGAGTCTTGTTTTTCATAAGTCCAAGATAGCAGCATGATAGTTCCCATAACTGGTATTGTCATCCACAGGCATAGTGTGTGAAGTCAACCAACAGTTGCTGGAATATTGCTGACAATGAAACATTCTTGAGCATAATTTTTAGTTGAATATCCTAATGTTGTAGGAGCCACTGTTGTGCTATATATATACAATATTTCTTATATATATACCATTTGACTAGGGGTGGGCGATAATACCGGTTAACCGGTATATTTCAATTCGAACTTCACAATACAATATATTGCAGTACACTTTTCGCAAACCGGTTCACCCGATACAGTCGGTAATTTTCGTGACGTAATCAAAACTACTAACAACATTTGTATTTCCTTCATAATTATACATTAATAGTTTCAGAATGTTTATTGGTCATATAATTGCATTTGCATGACTTTTAAACCATATAAATAAATAAAAATAGATTGGTACCGGCACTCGTTGTAAGGATAAACAAAACAAAATGGCGGGAGCCGCTGCAGACGTTTTTTTCTCTAGTTCCAAACTTTAGAGCGAAGTCTTCAATTTGGAAACATTTTTAATTGATCTCTTGGACAATCACATCTGACTCCTGACAGTGGCCAGTGGCATTGTTTCAAAAGAAAGGAAACAGTAATTTCATTACCTTAACCCATGTGTTACACGTTCACAATATATTGCAATTCATATTGCAATACGCCAACACATATCACAATATATCGCAATACGAACATTTTGGCAATACCCAACCCTACATTTGACATGGTGCATTTCAGTGTTGTCATACCTCTGAAACATTTGACTGCAGGTGATGATCGAGGTCCTGTTCTGGAGGTCATTGTCTCTCGGACAAACTTCATCTCCAGCACCACCATGACCAAGGTTCGAGTTGTTGGCCTCTCCACAGCTCTGGCCAATGCACGAGACCTTGCAGACTGGTTGGCCATTAAACAGGTAGAATATCAACAGTGCTGTTCAAATAATGGGTCACTCTGAAGATATCATCATCCACATAAATATCGAGCAATATTATTTATGGCTCATTGCTCATAGGCACCATCATGGGTCAGGTGGCAAGGCTTGGGGATGATGGCTTGGGGATGATGGCTTGGGGATGATGGCTTGGGGATGATGGCTAGGGGATGATGGCTTGGGGATGATGGGATGATGGCTTGGGGATGATGTCTTGGGGATGATGTCTAGGGGATGATGGCTTGGGGATGATGGCTTGGGGATGATGGCTAGGGGATGATGGCTTGGGGATGATGGCTTGGGGATGATGGCTTGGGGATGATGGGATGATGGCTTGGGGATGATGGCTTGGGGATGATGGCTTGGGGATGATGGCTTGGGGATGATGGCTTGGGGATGATGGCTTGGGGATGATGGCTTGGGGATGATGGCTTGGGGATGATGGCTGGGATGGGCTTGGGGATGATGGCTTGGGGATGATGGGGGATGATGGCTTGGGGATGATGGGGGATGATGGCTTGATGGCTTAGGGATGATGATGGCTTAGGGATGATGGCTAGGGGATGATGGCTTGGGGATGATGGGGATGATGGCTTGGGGATGATGGCTTGGGATGATGGCTTGGGATGATGGCTAGGGATGATGGCTTAGGGATGATGGGGGATGATGTCTAGGGATGATGGCTTGGGGATGATGGCTAGGGATGATGGGATGATGGCTTGGGATGATGATGGGATGATGGATGGCTTAGGGATGATGGCATGGGATGATGGCTTTGGGGATGATGGCTTGGGGATGATGGGGGATGATGATGGCTTGGGGATGATGGCTAGGGATGATGGCTTGGGGATGATGGGATGATGTCTAGGGATGATGGCTAGGGGGGATGATGGCTTGGGATGATGGCTTGGGGATGATGGCTTGGGGATGATGGGGATGATGGGGATGATGGCTTGGGGGATGATGGCTTGGGGATGATGGGATGATGGATGGCTTCAGGGATGATGGCTTGGGATGATGGCTAGGGGGATGATGGCTTGGGGATGATGGCTAGGGGATGATGGCTTGGGGATGATGGCTAGGGGATGATGGCTTGGGGATGATGGCTAGGGGATGATGGCTTGAGAATGATGGCTTGGGGATGATGGCTTGTCTTTATGTGGACTGGTGCTCACAATATCAATCACTTAATCTTCTGTTCCAGACATGTATGTTTACAGGCCTCCTCTCACTCGGGAAAATATATCACTGTTGCTTTTAGTTTACATTTCCATCTTGTTATTCTGGCCTTTATTACAGAAAACTTTAAATGATATGTTTCAGATGGGTCTGTTCAACTTCCGTCCATCTGTCCGTCCTGTTCCACTTGAGGTTCACATCAATGGTTTCCCAGGACAACACTACTGTCCCTGCATGGCGACCATGAACAAACCCACATTCCAGGGTGAGGGGACTTGTTGTCTTTGTGTTGGGCTGGTCATGGATGATGATGATGATGATAGTGGTGGTGATGATAATGATGATGATGATGATGATGATAATAGTGGTGGTGTTGGTGGTGGTGGTGATGATGGTGGTGGTGATGATGATGATGATGATGATGATGATGATGATGATGATGACGATGACGATGATGATGATGGTAGTGGTGGTGATGATGATAGTGGTGGTGGTGGTGATGATGATGATGGTGGTGGTAGCGGTGGTGTTGATGATGATGATGATGATGATGATGATAGTGGTGGTGGTGATGATGACGATGACAACGACGATGATGGTGGTGGTGGTGGCGATGATTATGATGATGATTATGATGATGATGTAATAGATGCTGACAAATTCATTGTTTTTTCCTTCAAGCTGTGAAGACCCACTCCCCTGAGAAGCCAGTGTTGGTGTTTGTGTCGTCCCCGTCGCCAGACACGCCTCACTGCCCTTGATCTCATTGCCTTCCTTGCTGCCGAGGACAACCCTAAGCAGTGGCTGCACATGGCTGAGATGGAGGTAGGACCTGGTCATGTTTATAGAGAATCATGTCATGTGGGTGATGTTCAGTCCTAGATTGTCGTTTCTTTGTCATACACATGCTCATGTTGTCAAGGTCTGAGAACATCACTCACTCTCTCACTCACTCACCCATCCACCCACAAGCCCACCCACCCACTCACTGTGATTTGTATGGATTCCATACACAGACTTCAGTTAGTGGGCTTTATGGGAGTCTGACAGTGTTTTCTTGTGTTTTGAAAGTGTATTTTAAGGGTGTGTGAAAAAGGGTTTTGTGGATGTGTAAAAGTAGGTTTTATGGTAGTCTTGTCAGTGGGTTTTATGGTAGTCTTGTCAGTGGGTTTTATGGAAGTTTCAGTGTGGTTTACATCGGCATCTGGCAGTGGGGTTTTTATGGGTGTTTGACAGTGTGGCTTTTTTGCAGTCTGACAGTTGGTCTATGGCTGTGAAAGTGGTTTTTAAGGATGTTTGACAGTAGTGTTTTATAGGTTTATTTCTGTTTGCCAGTTTAATGGGTGTCTAACAACGTCTTTACTGGATGTCTGACAGTAGGTTTAATGGATGTCTGACAGTAGGTTTAATGTGTGTCAACAATGGGTTTACTGGGTGTCTGACAATGGGTTTACTGGGTGTCTGACAGTAGGGTGTCTGACAATGGGTTTACTGCGTGTCTGACAGTGGGTTTACTGTGTGTCTGACAATGGGTTTACTGGTGTCTGACAATGGGTTTACTGGGTGTCTGACAGTGGGTTTACTGGGTGTCTGACAGTGGGTTTACTGGGTGTCTGACAGTGGGTTTACTGGGTGTCTGACAATGGGTTTACTGGGTGTCTGACAATGGGTTTACTGGGTGTCTGACAATGGGTTTACTGGGTGTCTGACAATGGGTTTACTGGGTGTCTGACAGTGGGTTTACTGGGTGTCTGACAATGGGTTTACTGGGTGTCTGACAGTAGGTTTACTGCGTGTCTGACAGTGGGTTTACTGGGTTTCTGACAGTGGGTTTACTGTGTCTGACAATGGGTTTACTGGGTGTCTGACAATGGGTTTACTGGGTGTCTGACAGTGGGTTTACTGGGTGTCTGACAGTGGGTTTTACTGGGTGTCTGACAGTAGGTTTACTGGGTGTCTGACAATGGGTTTTACTGGGTGTCTGACAATGGGTTTACTGGGTGTCTGACAGTAGGTGTCTGACAGTGGTTTAATCTGACTGGTGTCTCTGACAAAGGGTTTACTGGGTGTCTGACAGTGGGTGTCTACTGGGTGTCTGACAATGGGTTTACTGGGGTTTACTGTGTCTGACAGTAGGTTGTAATGGGTGTCTGACAATGGGTTTACTGGGTGTCTGACAGTAGGTTTACTGGGTGTCTGACAATGGGTTTACTGGGTGTCTGACAGTAGGTTTAATGTGTGTCTGACAATGGGTTTACTGGGTGTCTGACAGTGGGTTTACTGGGTGTCTGACAGTAGGTTTAATGTGTCTGACAGTAGGTTTACTGGGTGTCTGACAGTGGGTTTACTGGGTGTCTGACAGTGGGTTTACTGGGTGTCTGACAGTAGGTTTACTGGGTGTCTGACAATGGGTTTACTGGGTGTCTGACAGTAGGTTTACTGGGTGTTTTACTGGGTGTCTGACAGTAGGTTTACTGGATGTCTGACAGTGGGTTTTACTGGGTGTCTGACAGTGGGTTTACTGGGTGTCTGACAGTAGGTTTACTGTGTGTCTGACAGTAGGTTTACTGGGTGTCTGACAGTGGCTTTACTGGAGTGTCTGACAATGGAGTTTACTGGGTGTCTGACAAGTAGGTTTAATGT